TTACTATAAGAAGGCAATTATTTTCATGTTACTCACTGGACAGCTGGCGGCATGGGGGTGGTCTTAACACGAATTTCTGGCACGACCCCCAGCACACCATCGTCATCATATGGTATAAAACGTAAAATTTCACATGATTAGGATCAGTATTTCCATCCCTGAAATGGATTACTTTGTCAATTGATTCATCAATTGTCTGCGACTTAGTGGCGAATTTAACTCACTGGGACGTCCTGAAGCGACAACTTCAATTTGCCGTTCTCCACACTCAGCCGGCTAATTTCCTTCATTGCATCCGCCAGCTGAAATTCATACGAGAAATTGTACGGTTTATTAATTGGTTCTACTTAATTACGCAACACTTCGATCCCTGGGTTTCAAACCCCTGGTTTCATAGAAAGTAACCACTATTATAGGGTTTGGGGCGTGGTGACTGAGAAAAATGATCGGGTGTTGTTAGCGAACTCTCTTCTCTTCCACAGGTTGGGCCGTCCAGAATCTCTCATATCGAGACTTAACAAAATATGTTGGAAAATAAGTCCAAATACAAGCACGGATGGTTGGGATCTATTGACAGGGGATCGATATTGGGATCGATGTGACAGTGTGGCCCAGTGGTTACCGTTCAGAGTACCAAGATTGGAGCAGAGAGGCGCGGGTTCGATCCCAGCTCTGTGCGCCAGTTTCTGATCAGAATCGGCAAGGAGGCCGGGCGGTTAAGCACAGCAGAATTGTAGCAGTGAGTTGCGAGTTCGAGACCGCAAAATGCTGTGGATGTTCGGCCATGTTAGGAATCAGCGTCAGGCCTACGGCCTACTAAACGCTGAAACCGCTATAATTATTTATTATTATTATTCCTACTGAACCCCGTATCCAATTGCATATCAAATCGATATACACACAACACGTAACACACACGAGATAATTTCTTAAAACAACTTATGTGAGCATAATCTTTTTGCTCTTTCTGAGACACAATGCCATTATCGAAAAAACCTAAGCTGTGAGCATTAGACAACTACCCTGATATGCTATGCTTAAGCAGGCCTGTGATTGTATAGCGAAGTATGTCGGTACCGCTGTAAGCTAATGGAGTGCGAACAGGTAATCCTAGTGATTAAGCACCGGATGTTATAAAGTGTTTTTGTGAGTAATGTAAATTTTGCACCTCAAACGTTGGCGGACAAGGCTGAAGTGAAGTGACTGGTAACTGAACTAACGAAGGAAGAAAAAGTCAATCTATAAGAAGTGTGGATTTGTAGTGACTAGGTAAGATTCTAGTGTAGGATCTCCAAGCCTGAGATATTGTAATTCCTTTGAGATTATCAAGTGTTAAAATGTATTTTCGGCTCCTTACCATTTGCCTGGCTTCCCCGTAGCTTATGCGTTCTTTTGTTTGGGTGGCTATTATTTCTTCTTCCATTTTGTAAATAGGACATGTGATGGAGCTGGCAGGATGTGGTTTTCCGCAATTGGTGCATTTGATTGGCTTAGTGCAGGGCAGTTCATGTTGATTCTGAGCGTAGTTGGCGCAAATGGCAGCGGGCCGGCGACATGCCGCCACTCCGTGGCCATAGCCCTGACATCTGAAGCATCGACGAGGCCTCGGGATGTGAAGTCGTACCTGACAGCGCGTCCAGCCAACTGCAACGTGCGACGGGAGCTGACAGCCATCGAAGGTCAGTATATAGACCGGGGTGGGCACCAGTACACCCTCCTCCCTTTTCCTTGCACGATACACAGCCTTGACTCCGTACTGACTCAACTCTGCTAGTAAATCTTCGTCTGTATAGTTCGGGCGGTTAGGGTACCAGATCGTGCCGCGAGTCTCATTGAGTTTCTCGTGGGGGGCAGCTGTAACTGGCACATTGGCTAAAGTCATTTTAGTAGTTATGGTTTGGCTCTGTTGGTAGTTAGCGACTTCAACAAGGAGCGCTCCATTCCTGGTCTCAGTGATCTTAATTGGTTTGCCTTTTAGAGTTCTTTGTATTTCTCTGTTGGCTCTTATAACGTCGATACCGGAGAGGTGGCGGCCGTCATTGGCTGATATCGTGAAAAATTTTATCTGCTGTTTGGGAGCTTGTCCAGAGGGCTGAATCGGATTTTCCAAGGTGCTGGATCTCCGGGGTGGGCGAGTATTCGTTCGTCTGGTCCTCGTTCCTGGTTTCACGCTATCATGATATTCTCGGTTCCTTTCAGGTTCGTATGGTTCTGTAGTCAGTCTATATTCATCTGTCCGCTGATTCCTCCTGCTCCTGCGAGGGCAGCGGCTCGGCCGTTTCGGCAGTTAGAGAGGTCGTGGTGGGTCCCATTGTGGAGAGCTGGGTCGTTGCCGGAGAGCTCGTTACGAGGGGCGCGTTCTTGGGAGAGTTCATTTCAGTTATCAAGATGTTTGCCTTCGTCCGATACGCTGAGCAGGCACCCAATTTAATGGCCTCCAACAAGGGGATCCCTGCTGTCGGGCACACGCAGTCCCGACGGGACCACTCATACGCTCGAATATAGCTCCGATTGTCCCGAGCTCAGCAGGTTATGCGCTTGACTAGTGTTGCAAGACGGGCGCCACTCCATCTGCGCGACGTTTAAACAGCCCCCCGCCTGCCAGGGAGTCCCTCGGCTAACCGTTGCCACACGTGACTATTAAAGCTAGCGGGTCGGGTCTAGGTACCCGCCAGGGTTCGTCAATCCAGCGAAAGGTCTTTGCGTATCCGTAAGAGAGCCAGGTCGTTACCAGAAGGGCGTTTTGCCATCTCTGTTAGTCTGGACTCTCCACCCGAGCCACTCGGCCATGATTGCATCTGAGACCGCACAGCCTCGGGTCTCATCGAGACACGCAAGCCCCCCCCCCCACGACAAGGGCGAGATGGCACGGGGGGGCTTTCCTTTAAAAGGCCGATCTTCACAGGGAATGATAGTGACGACAGGCGGTTTTCGTCAGTGCATTAAAGAAGCAAGATTTAATGCCAAGTCTCTCGATGGTTCTCTAAATCTAAAATTCAACAGTCAGCAAATGAATTAATTGGTTGAAGTAATACCACAGCTGGCCACAGAAATATTTTATTATATAAAACAAGACCACTGGCGAAGTATGGAAATAAACTCGACGTCGACAAGAATACAGATAACATGGCACACAAAATTGCTTGAACGAATAACATGAATTCAATGACACTCATGTAAATTTCTTAATTGAATTTGCAGGGGAAAATCAAGCCTATGGACGCTGATTTATACTAGTTCGTGGCTCGGGAAATACTTTAAACTCAACCTGATTCATGAAATTTATAGGCAGTGTGACAGAGCAAGCATAACTTTCTCTCAGATCATTTGATCAACTGAACGAAAAGTTGAGCAGATTTTATATGGCAGCAGAACGTTTCAGAACTTGGCAGGCATTTCATCTAATGACTAAAGCCAAGATCCGGCGGGTTACATCAGGACGAGGGTGGAATATTGGCACAGTCAAGATCCTGCGTCGGGAAATAGCGAGCCGGGAAATCAAATGAAATTTTCAAAAAATTAAGAGAACACATGCTTACGACACCGGCAGACAACTTTCATCACTTAATCATAAACTCTAACAATACACGCATAGATGCAGAGAAAACGTAGAGAACACAGAAGTTACCTATAACTAATCAAATGCCACGTCAGTGACGCGAACGAACCTAGTAGCTTTCTAATGATATTCAACCACCACAGTAAATAAATGCAGAACAAATGTTCCGTTATACATGAAAAATCTCATGCCCAATAAAGCAGCAGCTTCAACAAGTTAACACACACAAAAATATTGTAAAAAAAACTCTAAAAGCTAATAAATTCAGCCACCATGCATTAAAACTACAAATAACAACGGCACTAGTAACAAAACTATATTTAAGCTTAGAAATTGACATGGCTTGTTTAGATCCATCAGACTTCTATGTCAGTGCGAAGATTCTCTCTTTTATCATAAAAACTTTGGTTTAACAAAAACATTTTTGATAACAATAACTGGATAATTGATCCGTACATACCACATGAAATCTAAAACAAAGAAATATTTCATCCATTGCGAGTTCCGGGAATTAGTATAAACCCTTAAAAACAGCAAAATTAATTTATTGTGAATGCAACAAATTAAATAAAATTACCTTGAATCTTAGATAAAACACTATTTTGAAGAAAACATTCTATGGAACATTGAATAAAAAGCTGCACACATTTGAGGTATGGAAAGTTTGCGAAGCTGCAGTTCAAAGTTGCGAAGCTGCGCCTCGATAAGCATTTATACAAGGGGAAATACTATTGCAGACAACTTAACTGCCATAGAGATGCAAGTATTGTGAAGTAAACTGCCAAGAAAAGTAAATTTACTTACTAGCTGTGCAACAACAACGGATTACAGTAAAAATTGGTCTGAACGCTACTAACCAATAAATTATTTAGACGAGTTCAATGAATTTTCTATTATTTAAAGTTGACATACATTAGTTTTAAAGTACTCAAGTCATTGTAATTACTTCAACAATACCAAGTTTACTAACTGATGAACTTATACTTAACAAAAACAAACCCAAAACCGCTCCTATAGAAGGAGACTAACAAGCGTACTCGGGGCAGGGAAAATTAGCGTCACCCTCGAGATTGCGCTGATGCACCAATGGTAGTAGAAGTAAAAAGGGGTAGTGAGCCACCCACAAACAACACTAAAGATGCGAATAGTTTGTATTCTACAGACGTAATGAATATATGATTAGCGTACATATTAAAAACATATAATATTCCAGTAAAGGACAATAAAACCATAACGATAACGGTTGAAACAAGAAACTGTTCTAGTATGAAGCTAACACAACAACATCTGTAAATCTTCATTCCGGAGAGCTAATGAGAGAGAGCTGAAGAGCAAGCAGTTGGTAGAGTATTATTGCTGTCAAGATCCTGTCATGGATTAGGGGAAACTGAGCGGAGACACGAGTTTATCATACACGGCTGCTGTCACTGGTTGCCGATGTAAGCATCTCAGCGCTGCACCTTCTGGGCATTAGAGATGGCGTGGTCCCTGTTGTACCTGCAACATCAACCAGACTTTAATTTGGCAAGAATTGGTGTGACAAAACCATCCTGCGCTGCACCTTCTGGGCATTAGAGATGGCGTGGTCTCTGTTGTACCTGCAACATCAACGAGGCATTGGGTAATTCCGCTTCTTCAATGGGCTCACATGAGCCCGGCAACTATGCCTCCCACTGGAACATGCCTTAAATATTAATCGTTTAATAAACTTTCAATAAATTACAGTACTGCAAAAATTGTGAAGCCACTAGATCATGTCATAAATATGATTTATTTGGTTAACAATCAATAAATTCCCTCACAACTCAAAGTTTCTAAGCTTGCTTAGGAAGTTACTTGTCAATAGCCGCTTGGATAGCCTGGGCCACGAGGCCTCGTCTGTCCTCGGACGCCTTCTTGAACTGCGCCACGGTTGCGATCTGAAGGCCGCGCTCCGAGCACCAGGACCTGACGGGCGAGGCGAGTGTCTCCAGCGGGGCGCCCGTCGTCTCGTCCATGTGGCACTTGACGGTCAGCAGGATGCTCAGGAACCTGCAGGAAAATAATAATAATTATTCAGGACCTGAAGGTTAATAGTCATTACATTCTACACGACTTGACGGTCAGCAGGATGCTCAGGAACCTGCAGGTCATTTTTCCGAAAATGTCAGGCATGAACGACGCGTGAAAGTGAAAAATTGAAGAGAGACAGCCAAAAATAATCACAAATTACAGTGAACATCTTGATGCACTCCTCAATATAATACAAGACTCACTTCCTCCTGTCTCCAATAACCATAGCGTTGGACAGGATGGGCAGCTCCTTCTTGATGCACTCCTCAATAATGACAGGCGGGATGTTCTCTCCACCGGCGGTGATCACAAGTTCCTTTACTCGGCCGCTGATGTGCAGGAAGCCGTCAGCGTCTAGCCACCCCAGGTCGCCTGACGCCAGCCACCCATCATCGTCGATCTGCATAGATAACACGGGTTAAGTACAATATAAACAGTACAAATGACGGAAGAGTGAGAACACATAACAAAATTAACGTACAGAAACGTTACAAATATTAAGTTACTATTATAATTCATAATCCCACTAATTATTCAAATAACTAATGAATTCTATCCTTTATTACACTGACCGTCTCGTGAGTCTTGTCAGGCAGGTTGAGGTAGCCCATGAAGACGTTGCGGCCTTTGAAGCAAATCTCGCCCTCGCCTTCCTGCTTCTTGTTTGCCATGTCGCTTGGACGCAGCTTCATCGATGTCAGCTCCGACAGCACCTAGGATCACGAGAGACGTGCAACTGTCAATGCAGACTTGTCAAGAGTTCAGGGAAACATGGCAGAAGGACCTACATTTCTTAGTTATAATGAACTCAGAGCTATTACAACAAAATTTTTTTGCCCTGGTATTTTTTTGGTAATCCTGGTTGGTGAGGACATTGTTTCTAATCGACACGTCAGTTTTTTTTTTTGCAAGTCAGGAGCATGGCTCAGTTAGCAGACATGAGGGGACGATCGGAAGAGAGGACGGCGGGCAAGAGGAGAGGAAGAACCGAGAGGTGGGGAGCAGAAGAGGCAGAAGGGCCAATTGCAGCTACTTGGAACAGAAGGCAACCAAAGGAATGAAAAAAGATCAGGAATGACCAGGATTTTGGACCTAAAGAAAAGGTGGTGTACGTCTTCTGGCGCGCATGTTGCCGGCGGGTTGCCTACGCGCGCCAAAGATCGTGGGCTTGTGGGGCCATAGCCAGCAATGTTAACCTGACTTGGAGCGTCTCGACTCAAGCGTAGTTCACGTGGATTGTTCTAGTTTCAGAGAGGGTAGGAGCGGGGACAAAACATAGGTAAAAAAAGATAACTCATTACGCACTGCAGTGAGTGACAGAGAGCGCATTTTCTCGTCGACGAAAACTTGAGGTCACGGACGGACGGACAGACGGACGGACAGACAGACAGACGGACATGGCGAGCACAATAGTGTATTTTTTTCCATAAATGAGAAAATGCGCTAAAAAGAACTTCAGTGAACGATTGTATTAACTGCTATTAACTTTTATTTGTGTACGGTAGCGATTATATTACGATGAATAAATTTCTTGTATTTCCAAATTCCATTGTTATAGTTCCAAAGATGGTAGGAGTTGGGAGGAGCATGCAGGTAAGAAGGAAGCAAGGTAAAGAACTTCAGTGAAGACACTCTAATGAGATTCAGTGAGGTGCATCACACACTTCCAGAAGATTGCTTCTGAGAGATCACAATGCAAGCTAAAGATCACTAGTACACCAAGTTCATACAGGAAGATCACTTCAAACTCATCTAACTTTCTTATGGAACTTTATTTCAAGAAATTCCAGTTAGTTACGGTTGTTCTCTTAACGAACATCCATTTAGTAGAAACGCTGTCAGGAATAACTAGTCTGTCACGTAGACAGACTTCGGGTAGTGATTCATTAGATCATTCAACCATCCTGCCATACTCAACATGAAATTTCATTGTCCACTAAATATCCTACGTTGTAACTTGTATGGCTCAATTTATATTATTTGTATTTTAGATTTGTCCATCATCTTTCGCGAGAGTTCACATGTTCAGGTCAACTTGTCAAGAGACATGTCAATTAACGCTGCTGTGAAGGATATATCACAAGCGTACAGGGGGCGCTGCTGTGCAGGATTTAAGTTGACTATAACGAACAAACAGACATCAAGAGACAGCTAAGCAATTAAGTTGACTATAACGAACAAACAGAAATTAATAAGGTAAGATGAGCAACGGACCTTGCCGACGGTGCCAGGCTTGAAATATCCCGTCTTGAGGAGTCCCATGGTGCCGATGCTGAGGCTTTCCGACAGCCCATAGCCTTCCATGATGGGCATGTCCAGCGACTGGAAGAACTCCAGCACATCCAGGCCGATGGGTGCGCTGCCTGTGTCGCATGAGACCGTTAATGGTGTGAACAGTAGTATTATATTGGTAGCTTTCTCGCAACAAGTCCCATTTCCTATTTCTGTTTTACAGAAAATATTTTACAAACATAATAATGAACAAAAATTTGATGTGAACTGTGAATTTTCAACTGGACAGAAGCCGTGAAATCGCCATCACAATACCATGTATCCCAGCCTACAGGCTAGACATTAAATTACAGCTCAAGAGTGAAGATATCAATACACCTGAAAGAGACAACAAGATTTGGACCCAGCCAAGGCGGCGCGGTCGCTGCTAACTAATTAGCCTTTATTTGATACTAAGGTTAAAACGCTGTGTGCTGTTATCTGCACGTTAATTTCAAACTAATGTAATTAGCTGAGATCTGAGTTATCCAATGAAGATAATTGCCATATCAAGAAAGTGATAAGTGATGAGTTGTTAGGGAGGTTCAATTGAACACAACAAAGTCGTGCAAGTTACGTGTAGATGATAACACAAGTACTACGCCATCATACGGATGAAAAGGTGCTGCATAATAACAGCTGGGACACGAGAGCTATAACTCAACAAACTGCAGGTTCATTGGTGCACACGCAACGCCATCATACGGATGAACCGCATACGGATGAAAAGGTGCTGCATAATAACAGCTGGGGACAAGAGAGCTATAACTCAACAAACTGCAGGTTCATTGCACACACAACTCTCAAGCATGGCAAAATTTAGAATCAAGGCACGTCCACTATATAATCATACTATAATACCTGTCTCATTGCCACATAATATCTCGTGCAGATATATTAAAAATTATTCAGTCATATAAGTATGGCGTAAAATGAGAGTATGTACGAGAGTGAATCAAGTTTAGAAGCGACTCATTGAAATCGAATTTGCTTCTAAACTCCGAACAAACTTTCTCCTAGTACTGGAGCTAGTAAGTCCATTAATTTGTATATTATAAGATGGATTGTTACTTGCTGGCACACAACAACATCCAACCAGCTTAGTCTGATGACAGAAGGCTGTTGCGTATGAGACTGGTTAAATCCAAGCAGCAATAGTATTTGATGCAGAGCGTTGCAAGACTCTAAATTATACTGTTTTGTAGAAAAAATACTCTGAAGAGAATCCTGCAGGTTAAAGTTTGTGCGTAGGATGTGAAAATATTACTGATGTAACAACCAATTTAATCAAATACTGCAACAATAGAGATGAGATGTAGAGCAACAAAAACAGGGAAAATACATCTCATACAAAACATTACTGCTTAAAAATCATGTACTAATAAAAGAAGCAATGTACAAAAAAATGCAATCACACTTGTGACAAAAAATGCATCACACTTGTGACACATAGTGACAAAGGCAATCACACTCGTCATGAATTCAATGAAAACAAAGAAGTAAAATCATGCACAAAATTACTGACACAGCGCAGGCTGGCAACAAGCAAGCAAGTGACGTGAAGGACGGCAACACAAGAGGTGCGGGGCGGGGAAGAGCTTATAGATGAGACCAGGGGCAATACTTTCAAAACTCGCTAAGTGAACGTAACTACTTACGCACTATTTTCTTATCTATGATTGGTGGATTTGGCTTGAAAGGCCATCAATGATTGGCGGATGAACTTACGATCTCTTAACTTTTTTTGAAAGTATAGACCAGGCAAGTAACACCAGCGATCAAAATCAACAAAGAAAACCACCAAATTACATAAAGAAAAACACAAAATTATACCAATTCGTAAAGCCACTAAGCTACACAAACAAAAGTTGCCACTAACAAAAACAGAAAATTACACCACTAAATGAAACCGATAAAAATAACACACATAAATGAAGCCACTCCATTGCACCAATAAACCCAACAGCGAATGCAGGATCTCACCTGAACGCAGTGGCTACACAACGTCGCCTGTGAGCAAGAAATGGAAGCAATCATCACCACAAATGATTATTAAAACAATCTTAGGATTACAATTGCTCAAGTTACTTGATGTCAAGACAATCCTTAACACGTATAACCTCCCATCAATCCAGCATACATAAGCTACAAAATTCATTAGAGAAATTCACGGACCAGCTGATCAGTTGATGAAATACAGGTTGGAGGCTGCGCTTTCGATATCTTGCCTGCCATACATCAACAAATATTACGCTGATCTTCTCAAAGTGCGGGGCAAGGAAAGTAATAGAAAATTATATTATATTTTATTATATTATAAAAATTATATTATTACATTAGATATTATTATATTACAAATTAAGGAATTTGTAATATAATTTGTTAATGTATTCGGGACGAGGACAAGAGTCCTGCTAGAGTGGGGAGTGCCCGACATGTTGCAGGTGACAGGAGCACAAACGATAGGGAAAGTTGAGATGTATAGAATTCATACAAGTGCATGGACATGGACATGGACATATGCATATAGGGCTTCGTAGCCTCCCTGTACTTTGTGGTGGAACAAAGAATTTAGAGAAGCGCTGCGTAAAGCCAAACATTCATACAGAAACAGGTCCAGATTATTTGGATGCTACAGCTACGAACAAACCACAAGCATCCACAGCATAACTGTCGCAAGCCTTAACTGATTATTGATCAAGCAAGTCAGAACAGCATTAAAATGTAATTAATCTCGGATTAATTAATTCTAAAGCGAGAGCATCTCAAAGATAAAAGAAATATCTAATTGTATCACTTCCAATCCAAGCTTTGTACTCCAATCCACGTAAAGATATTCCACAAACACGAAGGCAAACACAACAAAGTAATCTGCACCTCACCTAAGCACAGCATGGACCTAATGACCTTATGGCGAGTTTAGGACTTCTTAGCCCACGGCTATGCTGATGCGCCGCCTTCGTCATCCTCCACCTCCAGTCGTCGATAGCCAGGTCGCCCTGCCCTTGGGTGCATGTAAAGTTGGGCGTGTTCCGTTTATCTGCAATCCTTTGAACGGCTGATGCAAAATGCTGTTGCTTGTCACTTGCTGTCGTGAGTTGCTGAGGATACCGTCTCCCATAACCGGACTATCCGGGATCTTGCTCAAAAACTTATCGCAAGCGTCAACAAGGGAGAATGTCGCAAGGGTGAACTTCCCGCCTTTCAGCACTTCTGGCAAAGCAATAAACAGGCCGACGAAGAATTTGTACTCTGGCCGCGGCGGTGTTTTAAAATGGGGGAATCCTGTACAGTCTCCCCTTCCTTTCGTGGTAAATATGTCACTATTTTGGAGATCTCTCTCTTAGAGATGGGAGCCAGTCCGGTTATCATCTTCCAAGTGTACAGTATGATACATCTCTCTCTACTCCTCTCCAGTGAGTACAGTCCCAAGTGTTTCAACCTGCCCCAGTAGTTCAGCTCCAGCTCCCTCATACCGCTGATCCTGGACGTGAAGGTCTGCTGGACTGACTCCAGTTTCCGCACCGCGCCCGCCTTGAGCAGGGCCCAAAGCTGGCAGGACTTATCAAGATTGGGGAGCACAAGGGCTCTGAAGGATGTAATCATTGATGCCGATTTTCACGTTCGAAATATCCGCCAGATCCATCCCATCCGTTGCCGGCTGCGCGCGACTATTTCCACGATGTGGAACTTGGTATTGGTACTCAGCAACACTCCAAGAACTCGAACAAGTTGCTTCTCCTAAATTTTTGTGCCATCCGATGCCATGTAGCGATATGGAATCCTGGTCTTTGTACCGACCTTGTATCTCATTACTCCGAACTTGGTGTCGTTAAATTGAATCATTATTCATCAAAGCCCAATCGTAGATTGTAAAGTCATACAGTAACCTCTCGCAGTCTAGGTCATCTATGATCTTCATCAGCACTCGTGTATCGTCCGCAAATGACGATGTAGATGCGTGATGTAGATGACGATGTAGATGCGATGTAGATGTAGTCGTTCCGCGTCGATGTCGACAATGTGGATGAGAAAGAGGATCGATCCAAGCACCGAGTATTGTGGGGCTCGGTGGAAAACTACCCTCCCTTTCTCTCGAATTCGAGTTTCGAATTGCGACAGCTTGTACTCTCTCTGCAAGGATGTTGAAGATCCACCCTAACAGGCTTCCTCTTACCTCCAACAGCCTCAGCTTTCTGAAGAGCCCCCCATGGTCAACTTTGTTAAAAGCTTTATCAAAGTCCAGGTATACTACATTCACGCCAGCTCCCTCCTTCAGTAGGGCCATAAGGCGCTGATGGTGCTCTAATAGCTGTGACAAAACAGGAACGATTTCGCCGGAAACCATGTTGTCCATTATTTTACAGTTCAGCCTAATCTATATAATGGACAAGCCTCCTGGCCACTACCTTTTCAAAATCCTTGATCACCAATGTGATGAAGGTTATAGGTCTCTAATTATGGAGTCCGTCATTCGGACCTCCTTTGTGGATTGACACAAAGGACTTCTGCCTGGCTGCCCTGGCAGCTCCCGGAGAACTTCGATTTCATTCTTCTCCCTTGAGTAGCGGGGGTTACTGAAGACTGCTGATTCAAACTGTGATCCCAGTAACTCACACATGTCCTGGTCATCTACGACAAGGACATAGTTATCCTTCAGCGGGCTCATTGGCGTCTTTATTTTAGCCTTGGACTGGGCGTATTTAAAGAATAACTTAGGGTTCTCTCTGATGACCTCAATTACAACGTTACATCTGGGACCCGATGGCCTTGCCTATTGACGAATCGGACACGGAGGAGGACGAAGGCGAAGCATCAGCTTAACCATGGACTGAGAAGTCCTAATTCATAAGGTCATAAGAACTCGTTCCTTGGTAGCTAATTCCTCAGTCTTGTGTTAGTCCAGTATACTGCGTTCAGTTTCCTTGTGAAGCACTACTAGTCTCTGTCTCCTTAGATTACTAGTAGATATAGCTAATTGGTTATTCAATCGTGTGCGTTTTCTTATTATTTGTTGATCTCCCGGAATGCTGGGTACTTTACGGCCCGTTTTCCTTAGGGTATGACGAACACAAATCTACGCTAGTTTCTCACATACCGCAGTCTTGTGTAAATTTCCTTTGCATTCATATCATGGAACTCTTCTCTTCAAATGCAAATTACAGCACAGCATGGTGCACACACCACAGCACAGCATGGTGCACACACCACAGCACAGCATGGTGCACACACCACAGCACAGCATGGTGCACACAGCAATCAAGTACATAACCCCCACAACATCTGGAACATTAACAAGGAAAACCTCTTGATGCCTCTTAAAATTCAAGTAATAACCAGTACAATGAGACCACGAATGAGTTCCACTTCAGGGAGGAGCCCCAATTAATTATCTAGAAGTATTGTTCTCCGCAGTAGACGTGCTTATATAAGAAATATCTTGATAATTGTGAAGATAATGTAAGATCTATTTTGAACACCACAAAGAAAAACACAGAATTTAGCTCACCGGACACGAAGTTGTGCGCGTGGTAGAGGCCCAGGGCTTCCTTGACTCTGTTGAGCACCAGCGTCCTGGCGAGGTTGTATTGCAGCCACTCGTACCAAGAGAGCGACCTGCACGTGAGACGGTACATGAGCGACATGAGGCGACACATGAGCGACATGAGTGACCTGAACATGAGATTCAATCAACATTGACACACCTACATATTAAAGGTGGAATAAAGGGTTTTAATGGAGAGACGTGCAAATTAGATAAGTGGACCTCAGTTGTGCAAGTTTCTGCATTGCTTTTAATGAGCAATCCTGCAAGAAAATTTGCAGGCTGCTCCATTCATCACTCATCAGTGTTCAAAAAATTACACAAGACATTACAGGACCCTACATGTAACTACAATGAGACCGATTCCTTATACCATTTCTCAGAAATAAAATAATACCTCTGATTATGTTATTGCATAGGGACTTCCTCCATTGACTTTAGGACCTGTTTCGTAAGATTGCTTCTAACTATGATGCGCAGTCAGATCAAACAACCACAATTAAATAAGTGAATTAGGCAATTGTTCATAGGAGAAATGAAGAAATACTATAGATACTACAACTATACTACTACTATAGGAATACTATAATATTACACTATAATAGAAATACCATAACTTAATATAGTATTATATAATAGTAATAATATAGTAAGTATAATGTAGTAAGCAATATTATATAAAAATTAGCTTAAGTCATCAGTCGGCAATTGCATACCCAGCTAGAAACGAGCGGTGCAACGTTTACTCAAAAGAAATGAGCTAAAAGCATCGGATAACCTCGACGCTCGACACTCTCGTTAAGACACGTGCGCTGCGCACCTGCCTGCCTGCAGGGCCTTGTAGTAGTTGAGGCCGTGGTACTTAGCCCAGCCTGCGGCCAGGAGCGTCAGGCCCCCGCTGGAGCGCCCAGCCTCCACCATCTTCTCGTGTATCTTTTCCCACACACGGGGCACACCCAGGAACCCCGTGGGCTGCACCTGTGGGGGAAGGGGTGTGAGTGACGACAGTCAGGATGGGCGGTTATCCCACACGCGGGGCACCCCCAAGAACCCCGCGGGCTGCACCTGTGGGGGAAGGGGTGTGAGTGACGACAGTCAGGATGGGCGGTTATCCCACACGCGGGGCACCCCCAAGAACCCCGTGGGCTGCACCTGTGGGGGAAGGGGCGTGAGTGACGACAGTCAGGATGGGCGGTTATCCCACACGCGGGGCACCCCCAAGAACCCCGAGGGCTGCACCTGTGGGGGGAAGGGATTGAGTGACGAGTCAGGATGGGCGGTTGTCCCACACGCGGGGCAACCCCCAAGAACCCCGTGGGCTGCACCTGTGGGGCAAGAGGCGTGAGTGACGACAGTCAGGATGGGCAGTTATCCCACACGCGATGCACCCCCAGGAAGCCAGTAGGAGAGGCGAGGCATGAGTTATGGCAGTCAGGAGAGGGCAGGATACAAACTAACCCCACAAATTCAACGCAAGTTAGCTTTGCTTGAAATCAAGTCCTGGATTCCATATCAGTAATTAAATTAAAATGTTTGACAGCCACTGTAACAAGCCAAAACAAGTTGCATCACTCAGGCACACCTCCTTCATGGTGACGCCCAGGGAACCCTTGAGTGCGTCAGGGAGGGCGAAGTAGATGGTGGCCGCAATGCTGACAGCCATGTAGATCTCCGTCATCTGGGCGGCGAGGTGACTCAGCGGAAGGTATGACACGAAGCGTTCCTCTGTTGATACAACATCACATAAGTACTAAAACCTAACATGCTTAAATATCATTACTTATTAATTAATTCTCATTTCAAAATATTAAGATAACAATTGTGTAAGATGACAATTGGTGAAAATTTTTATTTTATTTTATTTTTTTTTTTCGCTCGCTTGAAGTCTGCATTCTGTTACTAGCAGAGAATTTTGTTTCAACTTATTAACGCAGTGATAGCATGAAAATGATATTCAACAACTGCAGTAAATACATTTTAACATTTTTAAAAAGAATAATATGATTATTTATTGCCATCATATTGGATTAAGAAATTAAGATTAAGACCAACCATTAAGACCAACCAATCAATTTGACCACAGGAATATAATTCAAGAACTAGGTATATTAAGTAAGGAAAAGGAGACAATATTACCACATATCTTGAGGTCAAAAGTGAACAGTCCGTACTGCTGGCCGGTCCAGGTGAGGTTGTCATGAGAGCACATCACCCCTTTAGGAGGGCCAGTCGTTCCTGAGTGGACAAAAAAATAAATGAAAGCTGAAGCTTTACCCATCGCAGAGATAACAGAAAACGTTAAAAAGCACTGCTCTTTTATAATTGATTGGAAAGATCCCTAGTACACACTTTACAATGCATCAAATGCCAGAATATTGAGCCCCAAAATGTTTATTCCTAAAACCAATGGCTGGGCTGCATGACAATAATGACCCAAACTACAATGCCCAAAATACTTTTTTGGCCATACAGTATTTCCCAATACAAGCATTAGAGCTTAGCATTGATCATATCAACCACAGCCACACAAAGAATTTACTTTACACATTAAAAATTCGTTGGAAGAAATGAAACAATTATCCATCGCTGGCAGTACTTCTTAAGAAGTTTGTACGCCGCGGGCAAATTGTCCACCGCGCAAGCAGTTATTTTTCAAGCAAATGTTTCTACTCAAGGGAGCATAAAACGTTGTCCACAGACCGTGGACCACGTGGACCGTGGAATATTATTAATTTTATTTCCGTGAGAATTCTGAATGAATTCTGAGTTTAATGATATTTTAATAATATTGTGCTGTTGAGGTACGTGACCGACCTGTTGTAGTACGTGAAATGCTGTTGCAGTACGTGACATACCTGAGGCATATATGAGAGTGCAGCACTGGTTGACATGATATTTTAAACACTGTTGCAGTATGTGACATACCTGAGGTGTATATGAGAGTACAGCACTGGTTGACATATTTTAAATGCTGTTGCAGTATGTGACATACCTGAGGTTGTGCAGCACTGGTTGACATGATATTTTAAATGCTGTTGCAGTACGTGACATACCTGAGGTGTAGATGAGAGTGCAGCACTGGTTGACATATTTTAAACGCTGTTGCAGTACGTGACATACCTGAGGTGTATATGAGAGTGCAGCACTGGTTGACCGCCATGCGCTTGAGTCGCTCCTGCAGCGGCTCCTCAGGCTCATCGTAGCCAAGCTGCAGGAGCTCCTGCCATGACAGCGCTCCAGGGGCAGTGGGGGTGCCGCTCCACTGAATCAGGGCCTGCGCATCATAAAGCATTGCGAGTGTCAATTTACAAGATAAAGAGCATTCCACAGCGTAAATGAACAGACTAAACTCTGATGTAATCATGTTCTTATCTGCATGAAAAAACTGATACATTTATTTATGAATACCCTTTCAATTGATACCTACTGTAGGCATTGAAACAACAAGGTAGTTGTAGAGCTATTCAGGCAGAGTACCGGTACTACAATACATTTTCATTGTTAATTTTCAAGTAAGATGTAATAACATAGATCAGCAGTTCTATTTTATTCACCCCTGCAGTTATTCACCCAAAAGTTCTCCCCCCAAACCTTGGTGAGCAGACACTCACTTTGAGTTCAGGAAGTTGCTGCTTGATAGCCAGGAATTTCTCCAGATATTTGTCATTCTCCACAACAATGATCTGTGCACGACAATCTTTAGCAAGGTGTAGGCACGCCTCAGGGGAGTTGGTGGTGTACACGCCAGCAGTGATGCCTCCAGCAAAAATGCCTCCTGCACACAAAGATATCATTGAAGAAATAAATTCGGTAAATAAAATTTCGTGCAGTATAGGATAAAATGAACTTCAAAAAGATTACAGGAATACAGAATGTACAGAATCCTGACAGTTATTTATTTGTAACATATTTACATCTCTGAGAGATAACAGGCAAATTCAGAAACAAATGCTTTCTTCAGACACACATGACTACTTCATAAAATTCAACTGTTCCAAATATAGAGGACAATTGAGGGCTTCTGTACCAGATGCATAGCAATAAATATGGCAAACCTCCTGAGCCAACACAACTTTGAAGCCAAAATTCGGCTTTTGGTCCACATTAATTTGAACTTCAGAAAGCCATGGCAGGTGAATATTCAAATATGACAATAGAACTTATATCATCTACACATTTCTATTAAAAAATTTGTTAGACCTTAAAGTTCTGTAGAGATATCCAGTACCATACCGTGTATCACATACAAATCCTGGTTGGTAGAAAGAAATATATTCACAGTAAACAAGTTACCCACCAAAGTTAGCAAGCAGCCACTCAGGAGCATTGAAGCCCATAATACAAACACCGCCATGTTGCTCGAGCCCCAGTTTGATGAAAGCTCGAGCTATGGTGCAGCTGTCCCTGAAGTATTCTTCATATGTCCAGTACCTGGGACAAGAATCTTAAATAGCATACCTACTTCTTCAGTTGCAGCTTTCAAGTGATTTTCAACATGCAAAATCAAGACAAATAAAAGAAAATAATTGCACTAATTAGTCATTTGCATTTGACCTAACCTGAGCATACCCAAGGACGAGCGGTTTCTTTTCAACTAACAAAATAAAAAATTGAATCAAAGAATCCAACAATTCACACAGGAACTCACTTCCAATCTCCATCTCTTTTGACTGCCAGGGCCTTCTGAGTGGGGTACTGATCAGCTATTTTATGCAGGAAGCTGTACACAGAGATAGGTTTGGCTGACGTGGGGCCAGACGCTTTCATCTGCAGCGTCACGGCAGAATTTGCCTCCCAACCTTTGTGACTGCTGGCAGGCAAAATCTGTGTAATATAAATGTAATTACTTCATAGGAAGTTTTTGCTTCATATGAAATTTTAATAAACTATTATTATATTGATAGAATCCAAGAAATTATCATGAATGATATTTCATGAATTCAGCTTGAAATAGAATGGATATAATAATCCAAATCCTAATACATTTTAGAAGCATTTAATCAACACTGTCTGGCATCTACATAAAAAGTCAAGACATTGAATAGTTAATTATGACAAAAGTTATTTCACCATCACGCTAATACTTCCACTTACCTGGTCAGGGCCCATGTTGTGCATGAGTTCTGAGTTTGCCATAGCAACTATAATAAGACTTCTTTAAAAACGCTAATCAGTGTGACAAATGATGTAAATATTTGTCTCTTACATTGACCTGCAAGAAAAAAAAAAAACAATAAAATAAAGTTCAGGATCATCATTTTCCAAATTTATGGACTCTCAGGTTTCAGTTTGAGATAACCCCTGAATCAAACTGAAGTTTAAAGCTGGTAGTGTGGCATCTTTGCTACAGCATCCATTAAATACTACAGTGACCAGACTGGCTCAACTCAAAAGGCAACACTTCATTGAAATAGCAGCTGCGCCAGCACAGGCAGTGCTCAGATTGCTTTAGGCAATGCATTTTCATGTACTTAAATGCCTTTCATTTAGAGAAATAATGATTTTTAACCCTTAAAATCCTGACATACAAGTTTATTACAAAAAATACAAGCTTGTGTGGAGTTGTGCCGAAAGTAAGAATTTAAGTGGAGTTCATTGAGCAAGTGTGACTGTTCTGTCACCTGCTAATGCAAGCGTAGAAAACATCTACCTTTAGAGACGCAACTAGAACTCTCTGTCCATTTCCAGAACCATGAAATTTCTGCCAGATTAATTATCTCCTGTCTAATTGTTACCAAAAGTGAATGATCGGGCCACAAGATTCCCATTGTATTAAAAATTTGTCACATTGGAGCTGCCAGATATCAGGAAAAAGTAGAAAAATTCCAATCCTGTGCTAAGGATTATCATTCTCCAGACCCTCAATGCCACTAACTACACCACACTCACAGCACTTATGTTGCACTGCAACTGTGACACATAAGTCATGATAAGTGCTATGGATTTTTTTGTCAAAGATTGTTTCATTTGAAGGCTTAGGCTGGCAAGTGGCAACAGCTGACACTTGACAGTTGACAGTCACCACTGAAGTCTGGTGGTGTCGTGGTGAACTAGTGAAGGTGGTTTCCTCTGAAGTCTGGTTACTCACCAGACTTCAGAGGAAACAATCTATTTTCCCAACAAAACTGAGCTGTTTTTTCATACCTAACATGATTAAAATATGTCATATTATATTTGGCATTGTGGATGAAAAATGACACATAGGCCTAAAACAAGGTTTAAATGATTTTAGAATGTTTATTAACAAATATACCTATACCACTTACAGTCTCACAGATTAAAAAACAAACATAACTATGCACTTGCACACATCACTGACACATGTCCCTTATTCCTTAATATTAATTTTATATCCTGCAATCTGCATTTGAGGCAAGATTGTTCTACAGGCAGCTATGGATATGCCAGTATGGTAGAGGAGTAAGAGGACTAGACTAGAGGTAGAGGAAAACTAAATATAGACACAAAATTTTAATCAAGTGTTATTGTAAAGCACTGAATCTGGAACCCATCAGATGATCAGACTGTCAGACATAGGCTATATCAGAGAAGGTTAGCAATACCTAGCCTATTCATGACTAATTTATAATTATTAAAATTCTATTATGAAAGGACTTATGTTATGGTAAAAAAATCTGGAACTCAAGGAACTTCAGAGTTCAGTAACTTGCAGACCAGACACTGATTCGTCTTATACACATATTAAAGTAATTAAACCACCATTCAATTGGTTATTGGACTGGTATACCTAGGTAGTAGGTAGTGGCATTATGCCTACACTACAGCCTACTAGAAATAGAAATCCACATCCAACCTAACCTAACCTACTGTTACGGGCTAGCCTACTTGAAAAGTTGAAAGCAAACGCTATGAATAGAGACAATATACCTAAATATAGAGTGAACAATATAAAAGAAGTTCTGAATGATAAAAAAAAATTACACAATGACACCGGACACGTTCATTTTTCCTCATCATTATTTCTATTATCATAGAGCGAGCATCAATTCATCACACAACAGAAACTGACTCAGTGACATGGTCACAACTCACAAGACACTAGGCACCAAAACGATTCGTCGATTGGCACCAACCGGTCAATGGCGTAGTAACAGTAACTCCACTGACCGCTTATCTATCTTATCTGTCCATGTCGTGATTCGTGAACAACTGGCGACATAAGAATTCGATCCCGTTCAAAATTTGTTTGATCAGAATCGACACTTCTCCGAACTCGCCTGCAAACTTTTTCTCTTTTCAACTATTTTTTAAAATATTCATCTATATTTTATTACAGCTTAACTATATACATAGAAGTTTAGTACGCATGTCGCATACAGTACAATAAGACTAAGGCCAGAATCTTTTCGTTCAAAATTAAGAATTCATTTTGTTTCATGTATCTATAGTTTTAGCTGACATATTTTTGTTATCTATAGCCCTCTTCAATGTTTACGTTGGTTCTCGCAGTGTAGCCTCGCAGCCGTGTGAGCAGATCTCAAGCTGATTTTCACAATGACTCAGCGCTTTCTTGAGCTCGATCGTTAGCGTCGAATTGTTGCCTTCTATACTGACTGGCTCAGTGACGAGCTGCGGTGCCTTGTTTTAAGTCATCGATAAAATGGGGAAGAATGTGAGTGAAATAATGGTTAATGTTCTCTTAAGTCTTAACTTACAACTTCAGATTAGATGCCTAGACTAAAGTTGCTAAAAACTATTAAAGTAGGTATTATCCCTGCGGTATTATTGCAGATTAACTACATCCAAAAAAAAAGGGTGTTTTTTTTTTGAATTATATGTTTTTTGGGGTGTAGATTACGAATCTGAAATCCATTTTTGGCGGTCGGCATCGGAAAACCGATTTTTTTCGCGACTTACTAACATGGGGGTTACATAACTTACGTTACCCACTCGCCTTTATTTACTAACATGGGGGTTACGTAACTTACGTAAGTTACGTTACCCACTCACCTTTATATAAAGGGTCGGATTGTTCATCGAAATTTTACAAAAAGCTCTTAGGTTGGGTTAAGTCAGCCAAGTTCCTTTTTTTAGATAGCATTTTGATCTAAAAGGAACCTGGTTCGGAAAAAAATCGGTTTTCCGATGCCGACCGCCAAAAATGGATTTCAGATTCGTAATCTACACCCCAAAAAACATATAATTCAAAAAAAAAAAAAACCACCCTTTTTTTTGGATGTAGTTATTCTGCAATAATACCATCCCTGCTCCCTGGTAATCTGGTATACAAATCTAGTATTTACTACAATTTGAGCTGAACTTAGTCTAAAAAATCCCATGTTTGCCTGTATGCAAATCACCAACAAAATGTTTTAAGTTCACTCATTATCATTATCATTATGCAGGATATTTTGGCAAGAGTAGCTATTGTAGTCCTACAGTCCTACTGACTAGTGACTACTGAACTGCAAAAGTTAAAAATTTTGTAAAATGACATATTAGTTAACTGCAAAAAATTTTTATCAAACAAAAATAGCTACATCTTATTAGAACTGTGAGATTTCTAACCTTCTGAAATTATGTGATATTAGAGCCACAATATTTCAGAAAGAAGCATAGTGGCAAACCAGTGATTTTTTAGAATCAGTTCATTTTTAATTTGCCCATTTACTCATGATTTAAATCAATATCTTATGTATGATGATGCTGGTATCCATGATACTTTGCTGGTGTACTTATAGGACTCAAAATTGAACTTGAAGGAGAGTCTAAAAAACTCTCTGCTTTGCCACTATGGAAAGAAGTAGGACTTTTTCTAACCAGGATTAGAGTTTTCCTACTTTTTCTGAAATCTTGAGGCTCCAACATCACAAATTTTTAATACATTTGGAATCTTGTGGCCTGATCGTGCACTTTTGTTAAAAATTGGATAGGAGTTAATTCATCTGGTGGAAATCTTGCGGTTCCAGACCAGAAATCGCAGGAAAGCTCTAGTCGTCGTAAGTGGCAGCCCTAATGGTAGAAGTTTTCCATGCTTGTTTCCAACTAAGATCCAAAGGTAATGGAGAATATTGTGCAGCAGTGCAGGTATCTGAATTCTAGCATTTGATATAAAATATAATATTCTTGTATGGTAAATTACAAGTATTTTGTGTAAAATCTAATAAATGTGAATATTTCAGAGAGAGAAGTGTAGAAGACTAAATATAACAATCAAAAAATCATTTTTTAATTTTACTGAAAGTTTTATAAAACCCATTCAAATTTTTGGTGTGTTTCCTTGAAGTACCTATATAGAATGATTGCCATGAATAAATCTTCACAAAATCTGATATTGTAGAGTTAAACTACTCTAATAATTGTATTTACTTTCTTTCTAAGAAGTAAAAAATAATAAGAATTTCGAAAGCTTTCCTGTGACTTCCCATATAAGCTAAGAAGCTTCTCAGACAACAAAGGTGGTATATAACTCTATCAAATGATAGTCCAATAATGATAAAACAGAAAGTTACCAATTAAAATGAATGCATTAATATAAAACAAGACTCCCATGAAATGTATAACATCCTGTTACTAAAGATAAGCATTTCAACATTGCACTGATTTAAAAAGGATACAACTAAGGACAACATAGGATGCAACTGAGGACGTGTTTTTGGTTGCAGACCTGTGTAGTTGAACTCTAGCAGATACATTTTGCTTACAATGAAAATGATTGCAACAAGCAATTATATTCATCTTTCATTTAAAAAATGTCTTATAAACAGGACCTGCCTCTGTCTCCACCTCCAGTGGATATCAGTGATGATGAGCTGGTCACCATCTCTGTGAGAGACCTTAACAGACAACTAAAACTGCGCGGTCTCAACCGGGAGGATATTGTGAAGATGAAACAGAGGAGGCGAACTCTGAAAAATCGTGGATATGCTGCCAGGTAATTCACAGGGTTTGTAGAATGGCCACAAATATGTAGTTGCTATGAAATAATATAATTTTTATACGTTCTTGTTATGTGATCATTAAAAAAGGCATTCCCATACTCAAGTTTCCTAATCATAGTGTTGTCATGGCAATCATAGGATAATGATAATTTTTATAGCTTATTTTACTAAGTATTGTATTGTATTTCCGGGCCCTTCATACTGCTTCTTTAGAATTGAAGATGTTTTACCCATGAACATTTGGTTCTTATTGTATTATTGTATGCATCTCTTAATTAGAAGGAATATTAACAATGATGATAGTTGTGGTAGTTGTGGTTTGGTTTGCTGTGTGGTCTACAATTGCAACCTGAGGTGTTTGGGAAGCCAGCAAGGCACTGGTTTGTGTCAAGTGTTGCACAATGAAAGAATCAATGCCAAAAGTCACCTCATGGTGGCCAATTCTAAAATGGTAATAGACTAACTTTCCACTGCTGCATTAGTGCTTGCTGTGATTCTCTTGGAACAAAGACAAATTATGACTAATTAGTACTGAGATGCTCAAAACATAACTGGTCATTCTAACTAATAATTTACTTAATGAGACTTGCACATTTGTTTTAGGATGATGACATTTTTATATCCCTTTCTCATATTATTCCTCTTCATGGAGAGAGTACTTGCATCTTGTTAAAATGAAAGGTTTTTTGACCTTTTCACAGGTAGGATTTAACAAATCAAGTGTCAGAAAGTTTTTATTGCTCATCACTAAATAGGATGTATTATAACTCACTGCAACAAACATTTGTTGTTGTTCACTGCAAATAAGTTCTTCTAATTCACCAACTGATGAGTTTTCCTCATCTCAATAAGCAACTCAGATTGTATTACTGGTCAAGAGGATTCGTTTTCACCAAAAGAATAGGAGTCTTATGACTACCAAACGATTTTCCCTAGTCACTGTCAACTAGCAATATCTTTTTAATCATGAAATACAAGTTTAATTATTATTGTATGTAAATGGGCTGATGTGGCTCACTAAACAAATGATTCTTAGTCCCTTACAAGTAGTGAGCTCTGTCTTTGTTTGCAGTTGCCGTGTTAAGCGCATTGAGCAAGTAGGGGACTTGGAGTCTGAGAAGACAGATGAACAGCGCGAGATGGAGAAGATGGCCTCCGACAACACCAGCATGCGCATTGAGATTGATAAAGTCTATCAGTACTATGAAGCCCTCAAAACTTTTGCCTACCAGAACTCTATCCCTCTGCCAGCCGAGCTTGAAACTCTCTGAAGCATCAGTTAATTCCTGATGCATTTCACTGCTCCAACTCTCCTGTTGTCCTTCATTCTCAATACATTTTTCATGTTAACTTACATGTGGTAAATCGTTAGTTCGTTGTAAAATTATTCACATATTTGGACTGAAATTTTGACACAGTTTATGGTATTTTTTTTCAAGTTTCGAACTCAAAATTGAATCTTCAGTTAATATTCTGCCATCCAAGTGATAACTTTTCACAAATATAAGCGAATTCCTTAATATATGTAGTCATTGCTGATATCATGTTATGATGATCATGCATTCTAAGATTTTCCTTAGCTGTAATAGGATAACATGCTTGGGCCCTTAATCTAGATAAACTTTCAGTTAAACTCTCACTGCTTTTTAAGCTACTGCTCTTTTCGTGACTGAATTTTTTGGTACAAATTAGGATCAATTATTTTATAAGGCCAATTACATGTCCTCATTCAATGATTTTATGGTAATGGTTATCTTGATTCTAAATTATTATATGTCTTCCAACATATTCCTGTGATTGAGTGGAAATGTTCTCACGCGTTCACAGTAAGCATTTTATGTTTCTTTTGAATACTCGTTTTGTTTATGATATGACGGAACCTACCGTAAAGAAAAATAATACTTTATAAAAACACTTGTAAAATTGCAAACTAAGTTTTGAGATAAGGCAAGTGATTTATGTGCGTCACTAATCCCGCAAGAATTACCTCAATAATTGCAATGACAACGTATTTGTATTTTAGTGATAAAACTTCACATTTATTTGATACCGTAACCTACATTGTTACCCGCCAGCTCTGCTGCTAAGTCTATCATTGACAGCCACTCGTTTTGCCCTAGAGCTTATCTATGCATGAAATATTCTGCTCCTATTATAAACGGAGATGAAAACAGTTATGATGCTGGTATAAATTTGCAATGATAATTAGGTCTAAATGTATGAACATGGCCTTAGAAATTATATTCTTAGAATAAAGTTGTAGGCTAGTTGGTCAACTAGTTGACTATCTTTCGTATGTAATTCATGAGTAATTTACGACTTTCAACATTTATGTATTGAATATATTTTGTACTAATTGATTATTAGGGACCTTTAGCGGTAAAATACTCGAGTCCATGACTGACCAGAGCCGTCTTCTCCCAAGCAGGCGTTGCTTCATGTTTTAGGTCGTGATTATTCAACTCAAATGATGGTGCCCAATATCTGTACTTTATTGCAGAATTTTCGCCATGCTGCACATCCTATTCAGAGCCAGTATGTTTTGTGTGTTTAGAACTTATTGAATTTTTAAAAACGCTTTATGCATTGTTCCTGGCGTGACTATCTTTATTACTGTTGGCTGAAAGTTTCTTATTTATGTATATTTGTTTTAATAAAACCGATTTCTGCTAAAGAAGTACCGAAATCGTCAATTCTATTCTTCGTCAAGATTATAACAGAACTAATTTAACCCTCTTTGAGTTATGAAATTTGTTAACATTATGTTAAATTTCCAAGCAATCCTCTCTGCGATTCGTAAGAAAGAAACCTCATTGGTCTTTGCATTTTCTCTAGGCTGGTGCGCTGCATAACTTTATACTCACTGTGGGTTTTTCCTTGCAGGTCACCTTAGTCGAACATCACGCCAATGTTTTGTTGCGGGTATAGGTAGAGGTGCTTACTCTACAGGTACTTACCAATGTTGTCTACTTCTTGCATCGTATGTATGCTATTGCCATTTTATTTCAGCTTTTCTATATGATAATAATGCTCTGTGGGTGTCGTCGGTCAATATATGCATAATTTATTTTTGCTTCTGTGTTATTTAACGCATCGCTCAGCTTTTCTAGAATATTTATTGATTTATTCTTTTGATTTTGTTTCATTATCTTTTTATTAGTTACACTATGGTTTGAATTATGAAGGGCAGCTCTCACTTAGCGCCGTAAATTAGCATCAATATTCGGTAAATTCATGTGGAACTGAGCAGTGCAGTTTCCGAAGGGCGCTGACGGAGTTTGTTTATGAATGACATATTGAGGCTGCCGGTGGCAAGCCACAACGTAGTTCTATGGGAATGGTTTGGAGAGTTTGGATGACAGTGCAAGAGGCGACAGGATACCAGACGTGAATAACTGAGAAAAGCTCCGTCAATCATGCCTCTGCCGTATCGAGCCTTGGAGAGGAGACGAAGATGGTAATGCTGTCGGCGTATGGGCGACGTTAAAAGAAGGAGGCCGCTACAGAATTAACACGTTGGGCAGAAGAGAGAAATCCGGAGGTAGACTAAGCCCCGGTCCCTGAATTTTACGGACTTAACGACAATGTTTTATTGAGTTCTTTTATATATATTGACAAGTACTCAGGATTGTTGAATAACTGAATTGTTTCATTTCATAACGTTGAAAGTGCAGCTTATCAGTTGTTTTCTGTTCAATGGCTTATTAATTTTCATTCTTAATTATAAACAAACTCCACGTCGTTTATTTCTATCTGAACACCAATTCCACAGTCTTCCCTTCATTTGCATCAACTTCCGTCATCTAACGCTTTGTTATGCGAATCCGTACAGTACTATAGTCAGTTATGAATCACTTCATTTAAATATTTGTGAGTATTTTCTGCAGTTGATTTACTGTCCCACTGAAATACTTCTCGCTTCGGATCTACTTGATTGTTCCCTGTTGGTTAAACCCAATTTTATCGTACATTTTCAAACTTACTGTTACCTAGCAACTTACGGACCAGGCAATAAGTCCAGCAGCTATCTCAATCAATCGTCAGTTATGGAAAGATCGGGTTTCAAAGGCCGGATCCCTTGTGAATCAAGTCACTAAAAGTACAAGAATCGGTAACAGGCCTTGGGCCTATTTTTCCAGTGCCGACACTTCTATTTTATGTAAGGTGCATTCAAATAATCTGTTGGGAACCCGTTGCGTTCGCACCAACCTTGCGTACGCTGCACTTGTATTCATGATACGCACTGCCACTTATTATGTCAGCGTTTGCTGGTAATAACATAGATCTTTGAACAACATTCGTTAATTGAGAGTTAAGTGATGCAAAAAAACAGTCAATATGAAATTTGAAGTTAGGATTTCGGTGAAGCTTGTTCTTTTTTTATTGATCATGGAAGTGGAGCGATAAGCGTGCGAGTGTAAGTCCCGTAGAACGATAAACCTTCACCGAGAGGCCATGATGGAAAGCTAACCTGTACGCAGGCCCGATCAAGATTTATTTTAAGAAATTGACTGGATCAAAACTTTGCCAGGACAAGTTAAGAACGTGACCGTTTGCGGGGACGTAATCCGCTTTGCCGTGATGACGCAGCGCGACGCCGCGTTGCATTTCGAGTATCCGCAGAGAATGCACGTCTTGTTAGACGAGGGCGATCACAGGTCCATGCTGACTGTTCAACATGCTCGCTTGTACTTCCCGAGTTACCCTTCTTTGCCTATCCAAGCTGTAGCACAGACCGATGACCTGCTCAACTTCAGTGAAATGCGTGTCTTGGAGATGAGGATGCAGGCTGGCTAGTATAAGATCGTCGATAACGCGTCAAGGACTGTCATTTTGGAGCTGCCAATCGCGCCAAGACTTAATTTCGATCCTCTACAGACACACGTTTTGAAGTTTACTGCTCTGCGAAAAGCGTTGTGGAAGTTTCAGAAAATGGAATGCTTGGGATTGGCAGAACTTCAAAGGTACTACAACCAGTAACTGTGAATTGATACCAGTAAAATGAATGTGGACTAGAGGTTAAGACCGTGTGACGATATATCATAACTGTGTTGTTTGTGTGATGCCACACCGTGAGTCCGTGACTTGCGTTACTTGTGTTACCTCGGCTTCAAGGTCTGCGATTACGGAAAATCAACTCGCGCTGCAACAACGAAGACCTTCGCTTAGAAAAACGTTCTAATTATTTAGCAACGAAAAACCGATAGACTTTTATCAGAAATTAATAATTATGACAAATTAAAAATCCGTGTTTTAAGAAGTTTAGAAATACGTCTTCAGTGACCTAACATCAGAAAATATGCCCGAGTTAACAATAGTGCGTTCGTCTATATCGTTATTTCATATCATCACGCAAACCGTTCAATCTCAAGGAGGATGGACTAGTTGGCGGCTAACTTATCAACGCGTCACTCAAAATAGATTTGGGCCTGCGCTTCCCAACCTAACTTGAGCCTTAGATCGCCCACTGTGCATGCGTAAACGGTCGCCTACATTAGCTATTTCTCTAATTTTCTTTCACACGAATCTCCTTCGACTTTTTTCTGCCGAAAGCAATGGAAATTCTCAAGAAAACTTCGTTTCGGTCAATAATGTGGATAATGATTTCAACAATAGCCTCTACTTTGACCTCAGCAGCACGAAGCCATAGGTGCAGGGTGGCTAGGTTACATGTGGCGCAAATTGTGGGGTTCCAGGAAAGGTTGTACAACGGATCAACAGCTGGACGTATGGGGACGAGAATAATTGCAGAAGGATCTTTCAAAATTTAATTTATTTCGGATAGGATTTGATGTTAAGTGATTTTTAAGATCATTTTTAATTTTAAATAAAGAAATCAAAAAGACAGACTGACTCCTCGACAGCTACAATCCCCCACTCTAGGCTCTCATGGTGATCCAAATCTCTGCTCTGACAGTCTACAGCATTTTCTAACGAACTGCTTATGTTCAGTTTAACTTTATAGAACAATGGAAATAAAATTGAGTTCTTAATGCCCTGTGTGATTACGATTTGGGTAAACAAGGCTGACATTTTCAGAGTAAATTAGTTTAAGGAGACGAATTTGACAAGGTCTGAACCCAGATAATTTGTCGAGCTTCTGAAACTTGGAAGAGGTAAAATAACGGTCACAAAAATTATAAGTGCCGTTGCTCAATCATAGAATTTTTAATTATTTCAGGCAGGAGCCAGATATAATTAACAATATTCAGATTGATAATTATTTCTGGCTTATTAATATCTAGGTTTGTGGATTACGTCAAGGTTGTTTAAAAAACCATCGTACTTGATATATGAACAAGGGAATAAGGGTATGTAAATGAAAACACTATTCTGTTTTTCAAAGCCGAACCTGTTTTAATTGTTCAATAAAATACGTGATTAAAATAATCTAACATAGCATTGTCAAATTAAATTTCACGAAATATTAAAGTTAATCAGAGCTAAGTAAATTTCTGAAAATGCATTATTTATCTGAATTTTAAATATCTTGAATATTATTCATCACCTAGTATGGTGATCAATGCAGAGAAGCCACTTAACCAATCTGAAACGTTGTCTGTATTCGAGGTGTAAGCCAGCTTCAAGATTTGTCGTAATGTTACATTAGTCGGCAACAGGCCATGGGCCTATTTCTTCAGCGCCGACACTTCTAGTGTTCGATGAAAACTCGACCAGCAAATTGCAGAGTAAACAATTGAAAACTAATTCCAACAAATCTTGATGAAAAAAATGCAGAGTAAACAATTGAAAACTAATTCCAACTAATCTGGATGAAAAAAAATGCAGAGTAAACAATTAAAAACTAATTCTAACGAATCTGGATGAAAAGAAATGCAGAGTAAACAATTAAAAACTAATTCCAATGAATCTGGATGAAAAATTGCAGAGTAAACAATTAAAAACTAATTCCAACAAATCTTGATGAAAAAAAAATGCAGAGTAAACAATTGAAAACTAATTCCAACGAATTTGGATGAAAAAAATGCAGAGTAAACAATTAAAAACTAATTCCAACAAATGTGGATGAAAAAAATGTCCCCAGCATGACATGAGGCCCCGATGAGGTGCCGCGTGACACCAACCAATCAGCAGCAGGTGCTGCAGCCTGCCTGGTGGTTGAGGTTCCTCTTCCTGATCTCAGTGAGTTGCTGCCCTCCGTGTAGTGAGCAGGCGCACTGGCAAGTCCCATACGACATCGCTATTTGATTTGTAAGTCAAGGATAATATTCCATTTATGTCATCTTCTAAGAAAATGTATTAATCATCATCAAACTTTGCGCCACTCACTCAAGTTCTGACTGGTAAAAAACATTAAAAATTTGTTACGATTATAAATGAAATAAAAAGTCCTAATCCACGTTACTGACGACTATTCTTATTATTAATTGTTAAATATGGTTGAGTCATTCCTTCTCGTGCATTCCAAGCATTCGTTGAAAATCGAAAACCTCTTGATCTACGAGTCGACAGACCCAAACTTCATATCCATACATTGAGCTAGCGTAGGGTAAAATAGTAATATGTGACTACCTAGCTTATCGTCGACTGATAATTAATCTATTACGCAGGAACTCGGGCGAAGAAGTGGTATTTAATTTACGTGTAATCGTGTCAGCCATCGGACGACAAACATGAGCGTCGCGAGAAGTTTGTTGCTCGTCCAGGAACTTGACAGTCATCTCGTCAAGAGATTCCTTCACCACTTTAGTAGGCGAGTCCCGTTGTGAACTAAAATTTAACTATTATCTTTCTAGCTCAAGTTTCTCATTTCGACGCTAGCTTATTAAAGTTACTAGGTGAGTCCAGTTGTGAACTAAAATTTGCCTATATATTTCTAGCTCAAGTTTCTCATTTCGACGCTAGATTATTAAAGAAATAAGAAAATGTATTTCATTGAGTTTAATTCAGAGTTAAGAAAATGATATTTACGCACCGTGCGTGCGCTTGATTTGCAGGAATACTAGCTACTTATACTGTATATAAAGATCGGGTTATTTCAAAGGCCGGATCCCTTGTGAATCAAGTCACGAAAAATTCAAGAATCGGCAACAGGCCATGGACCTGGGCCTTCAGTGCCGACACTTCTATTCTATAAACTAGGAATATAAATGTTCCCCATGTTACAGCTTCATTTTGTATTTTCCGATGTTCCCAGAAATGCGGCCCCGAGTGGGCGCCTCGTGGGTCCCGAGCGGGGCGCTGGGCTGCAGTCGCTGCACTGCGGGGCCCCAGCGCTGCAGGGCCTCGGCGCGGGGTCGACGCCCCTCAACGCTGAGACCATAACCTCCTTCAGGTCCCCAGCCTCCCACAGGAGAGTGCACGCCGCTCTAGCTACTCCTCAGGAGGAGGAACTCTTTGAACCATCCCACGGTCCGGACCAGGTTAGTTACAAATTATGTTTACATGATATTGTAACCTAGAGCTTCACCACACTGGAGAACATTTTTATCGTTGCTGTTATAACAACATGCAACATGACTAGTTTTAGTATATATTTTCTTGAAGTTTTGCCGCTACCGCGCGAACAGGTAGGACATAATAGTCTGAAAGGAGAGCCGCGATCTTCAATATCAGCAAAAGTTGACAACCCAAGCTCTGATATTAATGTTGAAGGCGCAAGGCCATCCATCTTGCTTCATTTAGTAACTGTTGACTATTGATAACTTTTGAGTGCAGCTAGGGGCCGCGCGGTAACGAGCTTTAGGCGACGGTATCTGGGTATGGGTGCAAGGTTTCGGTCGTGGCTGCTTTTCCCTGCGCCTAAAATAAAGCTATCGATGACTTTAATAATAGCTATGAAAAGATTTTATTCATATTAGTTCGTAGTTTCATGGGATGGTTGGAGGCTTCGGTCACATGTGAACGAGTCACGCATCTGGACGAATTTATTACTTTTAGCAAGACATACGTACGTCATCGTCACGGTATGTTGATATCCTATTGTACTTTAAAGTAAATCTATTTGGTATTCGAATAATGGGATATTCATACTTGCTTGAACTTTTGCACTTAGATTTTCTGCCGTATTCTTTAATTCGGAGAGCAAAAAACATGCTGCTGCGGGCGAAACCTTTGTCATCTCTCTCGTGGAGGCAAAACCGAGCGGCTTCGCAGTTAATTTCACCGTCCAGTGCGTTTTCTTTTTGATCAAATTCCTCTCACTATAATTTCCTAACTTATACAATTTTTTGACGATACAAACTAAAATGCGCAAGCAAGACTAAGGCGCCGGTCGTTATTTTAGTAGGGCGCTAATACCTTCGTCGGTGCTGCGCCGTATCTTAACAAAGTAAGTAAGTTATTTTAGTCAGCCTCTTTGGGAGCGATAATCTTATTTTTGCCTCAGTATGCGTATTATCTCAAGGTTTCGTTTGCCATCTTGGACCAATCAAAACCGTTATCTTCGTACGCTATTATGTTACCATATGTTACATTTTGTTGGTCAATGATTTAGGCAGAAATCTCGAGGACACATCTGTGATAACACGGCTCCATATCATCAAGTGGCTTGAAGATAAAATTCTTTAGCTATACAAGTAAACAAATTGAGCTGATAAGGACATTCAATTTTGGATATTGAAATTTTATTCTCCATGTTTTGCAAGCCAACTGATAGACGTCAGGTGATCAGCAAAACATATTACAAGAGTTTCGTTTTTTCATGGTACGAGTTCTTTATCAGTGCGGTAATCTGGTGTGCTGTATATATAGTACGTTGCTTATCATTATTGCCTAGTGCATATCAATGTGTATGATATAATAATAAGTTGGTATATTAACATCGTATTTTATCAAAAATAAATTCATGAATTATCTTAACTCTAATATTGTCACTGAACCTCTATTATTCAAGCTCTTTTTTCTGGATTCCAATTGCAATGAAAATAATAATGAATGAACTGGATGTCTCAAAGTTTTCTATTGTCATTGCACGTGTTATATTGACACGGAACGCGAGTGTATGCCACTGAATGGGCTGATGTCAGGTGCTGCCTGCGAGGTCACACAAATGTTGGCTTCCTGACTGTGCCGTGACCATCACAATGGACGAAGAAGGCCCAGGGGCACGGGCGCCCATGTCTGTCCATAGCGTCCTGCACACCGCAGCCCTCACCCACCCCCAACAGCCTGCCCTCGCCGTCCACAGAGATAATGCTTGGAAGTGAGCACGTTGACAACGCTACTATCTCAACACTAAACTTCGTCCAACTTGTTCTATGATATCAAATTTATCATGCGTATATCCCAACCCTCGCACCCAGCTCTGTTTCGAAATCGTCTTGGCTCAAACAAACCTCCTGTTATCTGTTTTCTAACTTGGCCACGAGTTCCTAAATACTATTAAATTATTTTTGGTCTACAGAAGTAGATGACTCAAGCTGTTTAAATCTCTGGACCTTTGTTTCGTAGAGGTTTTCAACTCTGATACATCGGAAACGTGCCGGTATATACAGTCTGTGGTCAGGATCGAAACTTCTCAATGACTGCAAGCGAACGGGTGGCAAGTGACAATACAAATGAGAGTTGACTCCGCTTACCAGGTACTGGAACTACGCGGAGTACTACGCAGCCAGCGCGACCGCTGCCAAGGCGTTGATCAGGCTGGGACTGGAACGCTTCCACAGCGTGTGCATCATGGGTGCCAATAGCCCCGAGTGGGTGATTGCCAACAACGGTAAGTGGCTAAGACATCCTGGCTGCCAACAGCTCCGAGTGGGTGATTGCCAACAACGGTAAGTGACTAAAACATCCTTGATGTCAAAAGTCCCGAGTGGTTCATTTCCAACAACGGTAAGTAGCCGCAACATGTTGGGTTCCAACAGCCCCTAGTGGGTGATTGCCAACAACGGTAAGTGACCAAAACATCCTGGGTGCCAACAGCCCCGAGTGGTTCAGTGCCAACAACGGTAAGTGACTAAAACTTCCTGGGTGCCAACAGCCCCGAGTGGTTCATTGCCAACAACGGTATGTATAGTCACTGGGTGCAACAGCCCCGAATGGTTCATTGCCAACAACAGTAAGTAGCTATAACATCCAGGGTGCCAATAGCCCTAAGTGGTTCAATGCCAAGAACGTTAAGTAGCCAAAAGCCGTTACTGTGGAGTGGAACTGAAGAACAAATGATCGAGTACAAGTATAGTTCTCTAACAGTTCTATCTACAGTGCCGTGAGTGTATTAGGGTGATTTGTATTGAACCTATTACCTACGTACAATTTTTTGGTGGTGTTCAGGGGCCATCATGGCGGGGGGGCTGTCAACGGGGCTGTACAACAACAACTCGGCGGAGGCGAGCTGTGGCATCGCCAACGACTGCCGTGCGCAGGTGCTGGTCTTGGACAACCACCACACCGTCAGCAGCATCATGACCGTCCGACACAAGCTGCCGCATGTCAAGGTGAGCACATGCTTCGCCCATGTTTTTCCGGCTAACTTATCTGCTTAATTAATTGCTGCCTTGTTAGATCAACTTGAAAAAACTCGTGAAACATACCATTGTCTCCTTACCTGGCATCAAAACTAGGATACTTGCAATCAAAAATGTACACCTATCAATGCCCATTCATTGTGTTTACTTGCTGACACTCTTGACTATTACAGGCGATCGTGCAGTGGCTTGGGCAGCCCAGGGAGCGCGGCGTGATGTAGGTTAGGTTAGTTTACTTGCTGACACTCTTGACTATTGCAGGCGATCGTGCAGTGGCTTGGGCAGCCCAGGGAGCGCGGCGTGATGTCTTGGGCGGAGTTCATGCACCTCGGCGCCTCGACGCCCGACGACGAACTGCAACAACGACTCAGCCTGCAGGCGGTCAACCAGTGCTGCACTCTGATCTACACTTCAGGTCGCGCCCTCTGTATGATCTCAGCCTTCATTTATTTTATTTTATCACCGTAAGAGCGGCTAGAACCTGCTCAAGCCGAAGACAAGAAACTAGAGATCAATGGGAGAAGCGGGTGCTTCCTCATTAAGGAAATTAGGGCGAGGAATATAAAAATTACGGTAGAAACCGATATATATCTGTAAGAAGTACAAATAAATTATATGTTTATTCCACCACAATTAAAGCATTCCAAGTAGCGCTTCGATCTAGACGAGTTAAGTTCATATAACAGAGAAGAGTAAGCCTGGAGCACGTTACCAGGTGAACCATGAACAGGAGAGATATCAATGGAAAATTTTTTTTCTAACATAGTTAGGTAGATAATAATATTGTGGTGACAGCGTTGTTTATGCCGTGTTGGCCCATTGCCGATTTTTAACCACCCTATCGCTTTGATGATTTCAACCAGAATTTTTCAAATATCGTGCGTTGAGAACCCTCAACTCACTGCTTCAATAATGGTGATCTGTCCCTAGCTCATGATAGCGAAGTCAATTCCCCTTAAACATTCGTACATAAGAAAGTAAAAAGGACAAACGATGTGGACACTGATTACAAATATTTCACTAAACAATTTACTGTACTCAACAGGCACGACCGGTCCTCCTAAAGGCGTGATGTGTTCCCAGGACAACATCACTTGGAGCGCTCGCGCCTTCGCTGACTTCTTCAGACTCAAGCACGGTGAGTGCGAGGCAGGACTAAACTATGTAGCCTTTCATCATAATATCTACGACACTATTGGTCTATCAGCCTCAGGCACGGTGGGTGCGAGGCAGGACTAAACTATGTAGCCTTTCATCATAATATCTACGACACTATTGGTCTATCAGCCTCAGGCACGGTGGGTGCGAGGCAGGACTAAACTATGTAGACTTTCATTATAATATCTACGATACTATTGGTCTATTAAGTAATAATTTTCAGTTTCATTGATGAACTTTGGTTGTCCACAGACGACTCGATCGTATCCTACCTACCGCTGAACCACATCGCGGCGCAGATGGTGGACTTGTACGTGGCCATGCCAGCTGCCGGCACCGTCTACTTTGCCAAGCCGGACGCGCTCAAAGGCTCACTCTTCGACACCCTCAAAGAGGTGGAAGTACAATTAGTGAATTAGAAACACTAGTTAAGCGTAACGATTATATTTTTGTTTGCAGACTAACGGAGCCTTGCGCCTCCTCTCCACATCTCCCACCTTTGATTCGAGTTAACGATTTAAATTTTATTGTTCGCTGATATAAATAAATTTTTAATTAAAGATTTGTAGGATTTAAAACTGAAATTGACTAAGCTGTCAATGTGCACACCATCTTGAAGTCATGAATTTCCTTATAATTGAAAAAGAAAAATAACATATTTACTAGTAGAAATAGTGGAAACAATTATAATAGTAGAACCGTTGAATTGAATTGATGAGGAGTTATAGTCAATTTTTTAACTGCAGACAATTTTCCTATCAAAATTTTGAGTTGGATGCGACCCTTAATTAGGAACCGCCTAGGACTCGGACCGCATGTAAATTAGCTTCCCTATGTCCGCTTCGGCTCAGGATTCGAAGAGCCAGCCTATGGGCAGCTTGCTAGCTCACTATATGACTCGGCTCGGCCAACTCTTCTCATACTCTGAGGCGACTATAAAGTCAGAAAGGAGATTCTGACCAGAAACTAATTTCGATCGGATGGCCAAGTAGACAAAGAATGACTCTGCGCCGAGTGTAGCAACTATTCGGCCGAACCCTAGACTGTCCCCCACTTTTGTTATGGTTGTAGCCCTTGACGTTGAGACCATCAATAACTTCTATCGAATAATTTTTTAATTCGTGGGAAGTATCGTATATGTTTGTGTTCTGTATCAGATATCATCGTATGCTCTACCGTTACATAGCATTTCTCTGTTGACTGAACTTCAATTCTTTGATTTTTTAAACTGATGAATGAGCTGGTCTACGAAAAGCTTTCGATGAAAATATGGTGAATTTATTTAGCGTTTTCTCGCCTTTAAAATCATTGGTTAACTTATGATTAAGGCAGGATTATGATATAAGCACTGAAATAAAACCTTAACACAAGGAGCTCGCTGATTGGCCATTGCAGAATCTTTCAACCTTTAGTTACCTATAATAGGCTATAGTTGCTCCAGGCACGACCCACGGAGTTCTTGGCGGTGCCTCGCCTGCTGGAGAAGATACACGAGCAGCTCACGATGACGTCAGCCAAGTCTTCTCCTGCTAAGAGAGCCGTGGTCTCGTGGGCTAAGAAGCAGGGAACCAACCACCACCAGGCGCTGTTGCAAGGAAGGTTTGTTGCCGGCTAACTGTTGTGGATTGAGCGTCTCCAGTCCCGGCCAAAGGGTATCTAAAGTTCCGTCTTATTGATCCTATCCCTGTGTTGGTCGGACTCATACGGCATCAGCGGACAATTTTGCTTCGAGTGCATCAAGCGATTGATGATTTATCTTTTTTAAGCGGTCGGTGGCGAAAAAGTCTTGTAAATACCAAAAACCTTGCTGTCTAGATGATATCTCGCATGCACCTACCAGTTCCTTAGGTAACTCGGATTGTGATCGAAATTATCTCGCGACGGTCATAAGTTTTAATAATTTTGAACTAAAAGCAATCTTTAGGCAATAAACAACGAATAATATTTGCTCTATTTTCCATCATCGTCATTTTACTACGGCCAGCATTACTAAATTCTCTCTAATAAGTGTCATTATTTTCTATTAATTTAATCCATAACAGGAGACTGACACCCTTTGAGCTGCTAAGCTACAGCCTCGCCAAAATGCTGGTCTTCAATAAAGTCAGAAGCGCTCTGGGTCTCAGCAAAGGTCGAGTTCTTTGTAATGGTTAGTGCCTCATTATTTGCTTCAATGTTAGGAATCTTCAACATGGATACATGGAAAACTTTACGTCAGTTAGTAACGATTAGCACCATTTTTCCATGGGCTCAATAATTATCATCAATTCCTCAAAATTTAACCCTTCCCCCGCGCCCATCATCAATTAATCACGATTTAGCCTTATCCCATCGTGTGCTCTATATCTATCAAGACAGAGTTGCTTATCTTATCATTTAGCTTCAATAATAGAATAGAATAGAAGTGTCGGCACTGAAGAAATAGGCCCATGGCCTGTTGCCAATTCTTGTACTTTTCGTGACTTGATTCACAAGGGATCTGGCCTTTGGAACCCGACCTTTCCATAACTGACGATTGATTGAGATAGCTGCTGGACTTATTGCCTGGTCCGTAATTTGCTAGACAGTTTAAGACTGAACATATGCTCCTGCATAGCTTCGTCTAGTCTGTTCTTGAAGGCGTTCATACTCGGAGCGTCAACGATGCTATCAGGGAGGCTGTTCCACATGTCGGTGACTCGAAGCGAGAAGAAATGTTGTGGCATGTATGTGTTACAACGCAGTTTTTTTAGTTTATAGCCGTGGCCCCTGGTGTTGGTTTTTGTTTCAAATTCTAGTAATCCTTTTGGGACCTTGTATAAGCCATAAGTATACTTTTATGGTTCAATTAGGTCCCCACGCAGACGTCGATAACTGAGGCTTGGAAGCTTCATAACCTTCAATCTTTCCTCATAGGACTTGCCTTTCAAGCCAGGAATCATCATTGTTGCTCGTCCTTGAACATTCTCTATTAAATTTTTGTCTTTTTCAAATTTCGGTGACCACACGACGTTTCCAAACTCTTGGTTCTATAATAAATTCTCGTCTATGCATTCATTTTCAGTCGTTTTTTACAGCAATGGTTTACCACTCATAGCGAAGCCGGCAGAGTAACTTTTAAAGTTATAAAGTTAATTGACTGTGAGTGTGTATTTCGAGAACTAATTTATTTCAGGATCCGCGCCTCTGAGCACTGCGTTGTCTGAGTTTTTCTCCTCGCTGGACATGACCTTCTCTAACACGTGGGGACTGTCTGAGTCGTGCGGTGTTGGGACGATAAACAACCTTCAGTACCGCAGCGGCAGCGTTGGCAAGGTAACGTTATTTTCACTCACTAACACTCTTAACTTTCATGATTATGTAAACAAAACAACGTTCGTGCCGTAATTGGCGATGTGATGAGAACTTCTCTTGTCACATGAAAGTGAACATAAAATTTCTTTTCTTGGATCAAAGCATTATGCCTCTGTCTCTCTATTTGAAAAGTAATATTAAGCTCTCGTTATCTACAAATTATTGTTCAAGCAACATTTTACCTGACTCAGAAATAAGCCGTTTTAGAAGCTTCGTAAAAATGAATACCGACATCGCACGAACGGCCGAGGAGAGAATGGTGCTGACATTTAGAGATAACAGGCCTATCCAGGCCTATTCTTCAATGCCGAAGATACTATACTATACTAAACATATAATTTAATGTCGTTCGTTGCAGGCCGCTCCTGGTGTAAAAATTTCTATTCAAAAGTCTGACGTGAGCAGCCGCCAGGGAGAAGGAGAAATTTGCGTGAAGGGACGCAACGTTTTCATGGGATACTTCAACAACAAAGAGAAAACCGACGAAACCGTGAGTGCTTCGTAGGGGTTCGGAGAAACCAGCTTATCGTGAGTCTGGGTATTCAGGTTACCGTGAGTCAGGGTATTCAGGTTACCGTGAGTCAGGGTATCCAGGTGTGTAGGTATTGCTAATTACCCCCTATCTACAAAGGAGGTGCAAGAGACAAACCCCAAAATTACAGGCCGGTTACATTAATGATTAACATCAAACGTAATCAAAGTATTTGAGAAGGTTGTTGCCAGAAAAATAATTGGTGCAGTACATGGAAGGCGCTGACCTTTTCAACAGAAGGCAACACGGTTTTAGACGAAATCGTTCCTGTTTGTCTCAGTTACTGGAGCATCACCATCAAATCGTGGCCATGATGGAGGAGGGGGCCGGGATGGACGTGGTGTATTTGGACTTCGCGAAAGCGTTTGACAAAGTTGACCATGGAGTGCTCTTCAGGAAATTAAGACTGCTGGGAGTCGGAGGTGAATTGCTGGCATGGATCCACAGCTTCCTAACAGAAAGACTACAAGCTGTAGTTGTTAGAGGCTCGAGATCGAGCGTGGCTAAGGTGAAGAGTGGAGCACCACAGGGAACGGTACTCGGCCCAATCCTCTTCCTCATCCACATCGCCGACATATGTAGATGTGGCAGTGAACCACGCCACTGCATCGACATTCGCTGACGACACCAGGATATTAAATGACCATCACGGACTGGACGGACAGTGAGAGGTTGCAAGAAGACCTCTCTGCAATATATGACTGGGCCCTAGTGAACAACATGCAGTTCAACGGGACCAAGTTTGAGTTCATCACTGCAGGAGGTGAAAATATTGCGCCGCTGCCCATTGAAGCTGCCGTCAAGAAGCTAATTCCTGCTGTGGCTAACGCCGTAGTTGTGGGCGACGGCAAGAAGTGAGTCGACGCCTAGGAAGGGGAGGAATAGGAAGATGTGAGGTTTCTAATGTCTGGTAAGATGTCGGCTGCATGCTATAAAGTAGTTATTATTGTATTTTACGTCGAGTAATTGTGGTCCTGAAGCACTGTTGCATGTTGTTATGAACATTTCGTGAGAATTTGCTGCTGGCGTTATTCGTCTTTATTCCGTGTAGTAGCAGCTTCGTCTTTACACTCAGGTATCTCTCGATGCTGCTGACCTTCTGCTGTTCCGTTGATCCGGACACAATGGTCCCGCATGACAGTCTGTCCGCTCCCGCGCTCGACTGGCTGCGTGGCTTGGGCAGTTCCGTAACAACCGTCACGCAGCTCAGGGATGAGGTGCAGCAGCAGCCCAACGGCATCATCGCTGCCGCCATTCAGGCAGCCATCGACGTGTAAGTTAATCCTGTCAAGTTCTTCTCACGCTGCTCGGCGGCTTCATGCTGAACAGTGCAACGTAACTCGGTTCCACCTTAATTTATGATGAGTTTAGGACTTTGTAGTCCAAGGTCAAGCTGATACTCCGCCTTCGTCGTCCTCCGTCTTCGAGTCGTCGGTTGGCAGGTCACCCCGCCCTCGGGTCCCGGATGTAACGTTGGACATGTTCCGTCTATTTGCCCTCCTTTGAACCATCTGACGCAAGATGCTGTTGCTTGTCACTTGCTGAGGGTAGTTTCCCTTAACTGGACAATCCGGGATCTTCTTCAGAAACTTATCCAGTTGTCGCTTGAAAGTAGCAAGGGTAAACTCCTTTCCTCTCAGCACCTCTGGTAAGGTGTTAAACAGCCTTGGTCCTACCACGGACAGTGATCCCTCACAAAGAGTCTGTACTCTGGCTGCGGAACGGTTATTGAATGGGGGGAAACCTGCACAGTCTCCCCCTCCTTTCGTTGTAATACGTCACAATTTTGGAGGTCTCACTTCGACGTTGGGAGCCAGTCCGGTTATTCTCGAACCCGAACCTCTGGTGGTTCGGGTTTAAGGATTTTATTTGTCGTTTTATATTTTTTGTTCTAATAACGCGTACAGTTCTTATCCTTTTGAAATTGGAAATCTATAGGTTTTTATGTTCCATTGTCGTTTATCGTTACTTAGGTTTTAATCTCTTTCGTTTATCTTATATTTTACCTTCTCATTGTACGTGTATTCTATACAATTTTTTTACACTGATGCTGCAGCTGGTCTCCAAATTGTTTTTAAATAAGGTATGGTGAATTTAATTGGCGTTTTCTTTGCATTTAAATTCTTTGTGAACATGCGATATCAGCGGACTAAATTAATTATCCATTTCTACTATAGTAACTAAACTAATTTATGCTTGCAGGTACAACTCAGAGCACGCAATCTCCCGCATCCACCAACTGAAGCGCTGGTCGGTGCTGCCGCACGACTTCTCCCTTGCCACCGGCGAGCTCAACAACACACTGAAGCTCAAGCGCAGCTACGTCACTGAAAAGTACAGTGACCTCATCGAAGAGATCTACTCCAGATAACGCACCTCGAACACACTAATGACCTCATAGAAAAGATCTAATCCAGATAACCTACCTCGGACACACTAATGACCTCATCAAGGACGTCTACTCCAGATAACCTACCTCGGACACACTAATGACCTCATCGAGGACGTCTACTCCAGATAACCTACCTCCTACACACTAATGACCTCATAGAAGAGATCTACTCCAGATAACGCACCTCGGACACACTTATGACCTCATCGAAGAGAGCTACTCCAGATAACGCACCTCGAACACACTAATGACCTCATCGAAGAAATCTACTCCAGATAACGCACCTCGGACACACTAATACCTCATAGAAGAGATCTACTCCAGATAACCCACCTCGGACACACTAATGACTTCATCGAGGACGTCTGCTCCAGATAACGCACCTCGGACACACTAATGACCTCATCGAAGAAATCTACTCCAGATAACGCACCTCGGACACACTAATGACCTCATCGAAGAGATCTACTCCAGATAACGCGCCTCGAACACACTAATGACCTCATAGAAAAGATCTACTCCAGATAACGCTCCGCAGACGCAACGAGAGTTCTGAACAACGCGTGACAGTTAGCTGCAGCTGTAGCTCAGCATTCGAGTGAAATAGTTTCCCTGACGTAAATATACTTTGTTAATGAATGTGCCGGTAGAAAACAAAAAAATGTGGCAGTTGCTAAATGCTGTCGAATATTATTGCCGTCGAGTTATGCAGGTATCATCGAAACGTTGATAGAACTCGTCGCAAATTAGTTAGTTCTATGAACGTAAACTCTCTTGCCGTCGAGGCATTGAAATTAATAGAAGGAATTTGATTTAGAAACTTCCTCCCTCAGGAGGCATCGGAAAGCTTCTCAGCAGACCCATTGGATGTGCTCTTCCGAGGCTCGGTCTGGAGCTCCCCAGTATAGAGCTCTGTGTATCTGACGCCCTGTTTAGTGCCTGACACTTCAAATTCTCGTTTTCCCTCTCGACCGACGTGTCGTGACTGAGACCTCCTGTTAGATTGCCTTCGTCTCTGTTCACCTGCCAAGGATACTGTTTGTTATTTTAAGATGCCTATATCCTTCAGGATGATGACAATGACTTGACTCCTCGCTGGAGTTTAGTTCAGTTCTTCGTGCGCGAGCAAGCAGTGTTGATGCGTTACTGAACCCATTCACTCGTACTAAGGGAATGTATCGTGGGAAAGAATGAGACCAGTTGCGTCAGTTGTAATTTTCTTCTTTAACTTGGAGAACCTAATACCAAGCCCGGGTTTATTTTATGCGATCTCGTTACTTTGTTCAATTTCTTTCAATGACTAACCTGTCGTGGGCAACAGGTTTACTGTGTAATCCTATTATTTTGTTCAAATCCTGTAAATGACTAACCTGCCGTGAGTAGCAGATTTACTAGGTAATCTTATTTTTTTACTATTACTGTCGATGACTAACCTGCCGTGAGCAGCAGATTTACTAGGTAATCTTATTTTTTTACTATTACTGTCAGTGACTAATCTGTTGTGAGCAGCAGGTTTACTCCGTAATTTTATGTTGTTCAATAACTGTCAGTGACTAACCTGCCGTGAGCAGCAGGTTTACTCTGGTATCCAGGTTACCGTGAGTGAAGGTATCCAGGTTACTGTGAGTGAAGGTATCCAGGTTACCGTGAGTGAAGGTATCCAGGTTACTGTGAGTGAAGGTATCCAGGTTACTGTGAGTGAGGGAATCCAGGTTACAAATGAGGTAGCACATTTGGTGAGCTGTGATTGTAGCTGCAAGACCATCAAAATGCCACTAATTACTGACACTTAGTGAATGGTAAGACCCGTCAGGCGCTTCTACGAGTCCCATTTTTGGCCCTCATTTGGTTAAACATTGAAACTAATACTTAGAGAGACGGAGATGCCACATGTTCTATAAAATATTTATCATGCCCTTCACCGTCTACTATACAACCAACAGAAGAATTGAGGTGTTATTGAGCCTCTCATATCGTCAAAGGAAATCAGAGTAATACTAGACCATTTTGAAAGAGCATCTAAGCTTCACAATTATTATCAGCAGGGGAAATATGTTACTAATTCAGACGTTGAATTGAGAGAAGCTTCTTGATGTGCCAGCAGGACTCTCCTTTGTTCAGATTCAGGACGATGGTTGGATGCGTACGGGCGACCTTGGTCACATGGACGAGGACGGCTTCCTGTACGTGAGCGGGAGGGCGAAGGAGATTATCATCACTGCAGGAGGTGAAAATATTGCGCCGCTGCCCATTGAAGCTGCCGTCAAGAAGCTAATTCCTGCTGTGGCTAACGCCGTAGTTGTGGGCGACGGCAAGAAGTGAGTCGACGCCTAGGCAGGGGAGGAATAAGAAGATGTGAGGTTTCTAATGTATGGTAAGATGCTGGCAGCATGCTATAAAGTAGTTATTATTGTAATTTACGTCGAGTAATTGTGGTCCGGAAGCACTGTTGCGATTGTTATGAACATTTCTTGAAAATTTGCTGCTGGCGTTGTTCGTCTTTATTCCGTGTAGTAGCAGCTTCGTCTTTACACTCAGGTATCTCTCGATGCTGCTGACCTTCTGCTGTTCCGTTGATCCGGACACAATGGTCCCGCACAACAGTCTGTCCGCTCCCGCGCTCGACTGGCTGCGTGGCTTGGGCAGTTCCGTAACANATAACCCACCTCGGACACACTAATGACCTCATCGAGGACGTCTACTCCAGATAACCCAGTTCGGACACACTAATGACCTCATCGAGGACGTCTACTCCAGATAACCCACCTCGGACACACTAATGACCTCACCGAGGACGTCTACTCCAGATAACCAACATCGGACACACTAATGACCTCATCGAGGACGTCTACTCCAGATAACCCAGTTCGGACACACTAATGACCTCACCGAGGACGTCTACTCCAGATAACCAACATCGGACACACTAATGACCTCATCGAAGACGTCTACTCCAGATAACCCACCTCGGACACACTAATGACCTCATCGAGGACGTCTACTACAGACGTCCACACAAAGGAGCACCAATACAGACCAAACATCACACTAAACAACACCCCGATCCCGCACATCCACGAAACAAAAATATTAGGGGTCACTCACAACACCTCCATGACATTCGGCCCTCACATCACCAACATAGTGAACGCAAACATCAGACTCAACTCACTTCGGGCCCTAGGCGGTGCCAAATACGGCAAAAACAAAGAAACACTAGCACCAACATACAAACAGTTCATCAGAACAGTGCTGGCCTATGCCAGCCCCGCCTGGGCGCCCGCACTATCCAGCACAAACATACAGAAACTCCAAACACTACAAAACAAAGCACTCAGGATAGTCACAGGCTGCGCACTAAGCACCCCCATCGAACAAATTCATGCAGAAACAAAAATACTTCGCATAAAAGCACACCTCGACATGAGAGGAACACAATTCATAGCCACAGCCATAAACTAAACCACCCACCTACACACAGACAAATAGCGCAAACACCACACAGATACTACACCAACATACTAAATACAGTACCGGGAGTACCCCCACCCCAAGGCAACACCAGCACAAAAAAACACTTGCACACAATTATGACACTTAGAACGCTGGAGCTGGCCGGTAAAAACTAAGTCCTTGGACACCCACCACCTGACATAAGCAGCACAGAAACACAGCTCTCTAGACTGGAGAGAGTATGCCTAGCCAGGCTGCGCTGCGGCCACCACCCCTCACTACAAACATATGCAAACAGAATAGGCCAAGCAGACACAGACACCTGCCCATCCTGCCAGGGAGCTCCCCACACAATCACCACATTCTCCTGGAATGTCCGCTCTGGCAGGACCTCAGACAACACCACCACACAACCTCGACCCTACAGCTCTGGAGCGACCCCCTGTCGGTGGTGTCGTACTTGCGCGAGGGGGGTCTCTTATGAAAATGGACCGGGGAACCATAACCACAACTCCAGACAACACTCGGCATACACCAGATTTTGTTAGAGACTTCTTTTTCCGAGGCGGCAGCTTCAGAAACAACTTGTGAAGACACAGGCAGTACAACAATCACGGATGCAGTTGTGATTTGTTCTTTTGCTAACGTAGGTTATTCAAAAATTGGATAAAGTTGCCATTAGGTGGATGGCATTTGCCTGGCGTGTAGCTGTTACTGAAAGAGCATTTGCATAATTGTGTTGAAGTAGGCATGTATATTACTTTTTAATCGTTAACTATCTGTCTGACAGAGAGTATGAGATTAACTCGGCAAACTTGTTACTTGTTAGTTCATTACCTTCATGTCAATGACTATCTGCCGTAAGGTCCTGGTTAACTTTATGATTGATACTCAATTTAATTAATGTAAGAATCTAACCTTCCGAGAAGGACAGGTGTATTTTCGTGGTATTTTTCCTTTTATATTGCTGATTTCAACGACTGGCCTGACTTGATGACAGGTTTATATACTGAAATAGTTAAGTTAATTCTGTTAATTTTAATTTTAATGATTCAACGGCCGTGAATGCCAGGTTTTGTCTGTGATGTTATCATTAGACCTAATTAAACACAAGCCTGACTCGGTGTAAGGTGGCGTATGAATAGCCGAATTTATTCACATCCTTTCTATATTATTGCAGTAAATTCAAATAAAATAATTAATATCGCGCAGAGCATTTTGCCTATAAAAATTACATTAAGTTCTATAAATCATTCACACTCAAGTATGCGTATTTTCACCAATCAACTACTTTGTACCGAACTTGTTCAATATCGAAAATTATCGTAATGTAATGTAGTCCTGTTCATTTTCAAGTAGGGCTTTAATATTCCCCATTTTAAATTATTCAATTATATTTCAGCTCACCGTAAAAGCATAGCCATGCGATGGACAAGGCGATTAGATAGGTAGAAGGGTGGAACGCCTGTGAGTATTATCTGTCATCAGCCGAGTGTCAATTTGGCTCTGAATTCGGACCCAGCTGCCTACATAGTTGACAAGGTGAGACTGTGATGTCGAGCTGACGAACTTGGAGGCCCTAGTATCTAAATTGTTAAGAGTTCGTAACTCAGTACACCAAATCATCCAGCAGTCGAGGTTCTGGGTAAACCAACCTCACTAACTAACGTGATTTAAATTTTTTGTCTCATAAATTTAAAAATTAATGCCCTGCCTGTTATTTAATTCATTCTTGTACGATTTTATTCGATAACCTTCTCAATCCTAACAAACAATTTAGTGTAAAATATGGACATATGATGATCTGATCCATATTTTTATTTATTCATTTGTCCTGTACTGGGAATTCTCTGAATAGTCGCCTTTTGAAATGGAAGTGAACAGTAGTCCGCTCTCCCATCAAGTTTTCTCGCGATTTTGGACTGCCTCGAGAGTTAACTTACCTCTACCCGTGCATGAATGCATAATAGTAGTCCTATCCATCCAATTTTAGTTATTCATACGAACCAAATTACAAATTACTAAGACGACTTGCAAGTTGCACTAATCATCTTAAACGGCTTATTCTTATAAACTCGGCAATGTCACAAACTTTTAATTCACAGTCCGTTGGTCATCTGCTAAAAGCCATTAAAATCTATTCGTTCTCTTAGGCCTTTATATGCCCGTACTCATTGCCTATGAGTTGGACAGTGGATAGCTTTGGTAGGTCGTTACCTGCAGTGGAATTTGACAAAGATAGCTTAGAATGTTAGAGGCTGAGGCTCCACTTTTCCTTGATTTTACATCGCTGGTGTATTTCATGTAGTGGGAAAGCTGGAAGCGTTGCCAAGTCTGCTAAATCAAAATAATTATTGGGGTCCAATTTAGAAAAACTTGCTGCGTGAAATTACATCATTTACCGAACACAACTTTCAAATTTACATCGATATGAACCAAAATATGGTTTCTCACTAACACTGTGAATAACGATGAGCGGAAGGTGTCGCATTTTAATCTTGACATGGTAAGAACTGGTAAAAGACCTTCATTTTGTTGTTGCCTATAATTACATCAGAATCATAGGCATGGACACGGCACACGATAAAAATATTAAAACATCACGTGTTCAATTTGTGTCTCGTCATTCACAAAGTCTGTATATCAAAGTTACCGTTTTTTATGACTTTTAACTCCATTTTCCTCCAATATATATTTCATATTTGTAATGTTTTATTGTATGGATTGGGATTGCCCTAAACTATTATCTCTTATCAGTAAATCAATCAGAATGAATACGAACAGACACGGCTGACGGGAAAAAAACCACCTTATCAGTGTTCAATTTATAATGGAATTAAAATGTCCAATGGGTTTCCTTATCACCGCAATATAAAGAGAAGAAGGATATAAAAAATTATGAAAGGAATGAATGCAAGCTTCCTAATTTGATAATAATTGCTCGAATATAGATAAATAGGCAAGACGCTATTGATCAATTTTGAATCGACATAGAAGTAGTGCATCTGCTACGCCCCCACAGGCTCACAGCAACCATAAAATAGGGAGTCTGCGGCACAGTACACAGTTCTCCCACAACAGACGCTTAGCGCTCGCACAAGCATCAGACGTGACAATGTATTCTTCATTTCTCTCGTAGTTCGCCGATACTATTCTTGCCCTGAATGCAACTCATCCATTTCTATAACTGCGCATCAGAAGTTGTTGACCAATTCTTTCTTCGTTTCAGTTGCTGCGAACTACGCCATTCCGGCAATAATTACAATGAATGGTTACGCTCCCTCTGGGCGCGAGTCCTGAATTTCATTGCGTTGGGGAAGGCTCTGTGGTACTGAAGGCGAAAGGTATACCTGCAGAAGTATCTATCTCTTTGATGGGAAGAATTGTAATTAAATAACATTCAGCTCACAGCTGATGCTCCAAATTTGTTTCAGATCTCTGTCAAGAGAAGCCAGTGGTGGTCCATCAGCTTCCGTTCTACAACTTACAGGAACAAAACCGAGCATTTCCCTCAACTCAAACGGAACATATGATGTTGTCGGCGCTGATGAATGGGCCGTGTGTGGCCTGTTGTCGAAACAAAATTTGAACGGACAAATATCATGAACATCTCTATTCACTTTTGAGGTGTTCACTTACTAATTAGCATCAAATCTTAGCGCGCTGCTAAAATTTCAGTTCACGGATACATCGCGCCTCAAGACGCACCTTCTCACTGAGAGTTGCCTACCTGTAGTGTGTGTCCATCCTCTCGATGAGCCAATCACAGCGTGGCGTACAGACCTCGCCTCCAAGCCTCGCCTGCTGTGCTGTCGTGCGCGCTCAGCCGCGCATGCCAGTCACCGCCGTTTCAACTTTTTCATTAGTTTTCTTTCGCTAGTGTTCTGTCTCCTTGGATTTTTTTTGCTGAGATAGTCAGCGGCTTATTCGACAACCTAATTTTTGATCTTAAAATGAAAGTTGGTTAATTGTCTTTCATGTTGGAGATAAATATCTTATTATCAAGTGAGACAGCTCTTCCTGTCCTTAAATTATGGAATCTTTCTGAAGACTATTTAAAAAATTAAAATTAGAGATTTGACTCTGATAAAACCCTAGGATGCAAAGAAATTTTGCCCTAGCGAGAGATTTTCAAACGGATTACGCAAGTACTTTGACCTTTTGTTTCTAATCAAGGAATCAAAACGTATGATTCACAATATTAACCGTTTACTTTTGATTTAAAGTGCCTCTGTAATATATCATCATATTTTGGCGTAGTTTCGAATCGTTGTCGATTAGACATCTCATTTTCTTATACATTTATTCGGGTTCAGAATCAGAGTATGCGTACAAAAGGCTGATAAATTTTTCGTAAGAATAGGATTCTATCAAGTCTCGATTACGAACTAAGTGCCTCCTCCTTGAGATAGTGACGGACTAAATGAGGCGGGTTCAGCAGTGTATATAACGCGTCAGTAGCGATTGCACTACAGTCGGCGCTCGGCACCAGCAACCCGGTAGTAGAAGAACTTCAACTGTTCCACCTCAGTGTGTTTCTGATCTCCGTTGGGAGTGGAGTACGTCTGCAAGTTTACGGTGTCCTTGGCTGAAATCTGCTATTTCACTTGTAAGTTACTGGAAATATGTTGAACAATTAACCATGCTCATATTGAGAGAACATTTCCACTACTAAATAGGCGTCTAACTATCTTCACACCTTTCGCTACCGCTTTGGTGGGTCTAAATCAAAGGCAACAAGGTTGACCACTCATAATGATTAGAGGGAGCTGTAAAGTCATGACCTAAAAGATTCCGATCAGGCGATCACTAATCTTTCAGCATATTTATTCAGACTTGTATAGAAGCTTATAGGATACTTTATTTCAATCCTAGATTGAATTATATATAGGACACATTAGGACTAAGCGCGAACTTGGGGCTCGGTTACGACGCATTTCAGTTTCCGGCCGAAACAGCTGTGTGTGAGACGCATACCTCGGGATTGCCTTATCGTCGACTGATAATAAATCTATTACGCAGGAACTCGGGCGAAGAAGTGGTATTTAATTTACGTGTAATCGTGTCAGCCATCGGACGACAAACATGAGCGTCACGAGAAGTTTGTTGCTCGTCCAGGAACTTGACAGTCATCTCGTCAAGAGATTTCTTCACCACGTTAGTAGGTGAGTCCAGTTGTGAACTAAAACGTGGCTTTGATATTCCTAGCTCTAGTTCTGGTAGTTGGGCTTAAGTATTTTCATTGGTTCAGAGTTCAGACTATTGGAGTATAAACTATAAAGTATACAATTTCATCAATTTTTTTTTCCCGTGAAACGAGATTTTGAGCCATAATGTCAGACTTTGTCAGTTTACCTTATTTGGAATGGTTGGTGTCGTATAGCCTAATAAGTAATCTTGAACTCTTAAGGTATGTTGCAAGTAGCCCCAAAGTGGGAATACAAGAAAAATGACATTAACCTTCAAAAATTTCTCACACGATATTTGCCGTGTGCCCGTGTGCCTCGTTTATTCATTTATCTGATGTATTCAGTGTTTAAACCTGCTGAACTTCCAGCATGTAATAATGCATACTATAACTTGGATGCTTTTTATTGGTCATGCACTGACGGCTGTTGCTTTGATTGTATACAGTATAGCCATAGGTATACCACATATAGGTAAGACCCATGGTTGAACTATAGTTCAACCATGGGTGAGACCAAACCATAATGTAAACATTGACGGGTGTAACATAGCTTCATCCATGCGTTTCGCTGGTAGTCTCATGCAAGCGGAGAGAAAGTGGTCTGTGATCATCTGCTTGCGACACCGTGCACCTTATCACGGCTATGGGTTGGAGCGTTAGACGATCAAACCCAAGGGCTGAATATCGAACTATTATAGTCAACCGACTTCCGTGCAATGATGCTTTTCAAAGTAGGCCTAAATTGAAAGAGAATCTATTTCCAAGAAGATAACTAGCTCAGTTATTTTGATCGCTTAGTTTACATAATCATGTGTCACCAAGAAATAGTTTGCATGTGTAATCTGTACTTCAAGGAATGTGCCTTGTCTTTTTAGAGAAGCGTGGCATATCTTTTTTTTTTCGTAGATTAACCCGACGCATGTCGACGAAAGAGTTGTTGGCTGCGAAAGTTTCTACTAGCCCCAAAAAAATGTCCTCGCTTAACCCCTCTAGCTTCCCAGGGTTACTTCTTTAAATTATTTACCCATTTTCTGGGAGCGAAAGTTTCTGCGAGTATAATGACTTGATTGTGTTGCTGGCAATGACAACCTTGTTACGAGACCGATTGCTTTTGTTGCCATGAATTTAGTTATTGTTGGTGAATACTTGTTTGCGGAAACATTTTTATTTCTCGTCTCATTTTAAGCCCGTTAGGAAAAGCTTATGGGCGTTTGCGAGACAAGTTACTACTTCCGCCAAAAAATTGACATTTTAAAATCCATTTTGCTATACCTCAATGAATGTAGCTAACGGACATACATAAAAATTTATTTGATGTTTCTGGATTGTCGCTCGTACTTAGTTCTTGCATGATAATATGGATATCACTAGATTTTTTTTAATAATACGAACGTGTGAAGTTATGCCCTTTTTTGGATGGATTCCATGTCAAATATAAGTTGGATCAATTATCACCAAGCAGTTGGGCTTATCCAGTTGGCAGTTGGAAGGGATTATGGAATGGCTTGCAGGTCCTAAGGTCACTTCACTTGCATATCGTAACGATGCACTTCTCAGGTGTCACAAGGTTTTGTTGGGCATCCCCTTCAATAATTTGTATTCTAGTCATCTCAAGGCGAAACTCTCCGCGGTCTTTTAAAGGTACTTTTAGCTGCAAAACTTGTTCGTGCTTCATTTCAAGTTCATTGAACTGCATTGATGGATTCAGTTCTCTCTTTGATGCCATTGATCTTGACCTGAAGTTACAAGAAGGTCGAACATTGGCCCGTCCATTAGGCCGCTTGTTTCGTTTTTATCTTCCGAGCGTTGCTGCCTTCGATTTTCAGAAAATTCGATAGGCGTTAGGTACTGTTAGCAGGAAATATTTTATCGTATACAAATGATATGTTACACTGTTCAAGATTAAACAATTCGCCACAATTCTTATTATTTAAATAAACATTGATTGAATATTTTTTTTTGTCCAAACGAAACTTCAATCTCTACCATGTGTCGTATGATTTTTTCGTATAGTGTATACGTTTCGCAATCAGAGTCACGTAGAAGTTAATGTGTCGATGCAATTATAGCGAAACGAAGTTTTTTCTTGAACATCTATTTCATTTAGATCATTCTGTTTTCAACGATTAATTTTTTTGTTAAAATATACTATTTACGTAAAATCTACGAGCTTAAACACAGCAATTCACGACATAGCTATAAATCAATATAGATATAAATTTCATCTTGAAGCTATTTTGCCCCTAAACTTGATTATTCCCAATTTTCAATCAACCCAGCCAAATGATAAATGACCTGACGAGACACAGAGATACGTAGCCGTTTGTATGCGCCCATTGGATCGAGAGAACTGCGAATCTATACAAAGAGAATGTCAAACAGGGACAAGTTTTTCTGGCAGTCAGCATGCGCAAAAACACGCTAGTGCGAATACAGAGAAGTCAGGCCCGAACTTCAGACTTTGGACTTTGCTTCTCTACGCGAATTGAGTGGGCATCGCAGCACGCAGGGTCGTGACGTGGCTGTAACCATGACCTCGCTGTTGTGACGTACCCACTTAACTAAGTTATGCTATGGGCTCGCGAACTGGCACTCAAGATGAGCACATTTAACCAGTGTTGTGTCTGTCATGACTTTGGGTGAACTTAACGTCAATCTCATAAATATTGCGTCAGGTTACTTTTCAGTTTGAATGAAACTCATTTGGCACTACTGTGTTTTTATGGCAAGTTAAAGACAATATGCTACATATTCAGAATAGCGAAGCAGCTTATAAAATTCTGGCATTTGAAAGTGTTTAAGTACTTTGTTACAAGCTGACAATGGGCAATCGCTGAGATTAATCATGTTCTGTACGAAGCATTATTTTTATAACTTGCTTCTCTGTGAGTAGTGTTTCCAACTTCTTTTACTAGAGAATTTGTTTCAAATACAAATGTCATGATTTTTACAACCCATTTTAACCTCAAAATTTTCAATATTGGGCAAAAAAGTTATTGTAATTTTGTTTAAAATCACTCTTAACTTTCATCTAAAAAACTTCAGTATATCAGCAGTGATTTTCTCTTCTCAAAAATAAGATAGTAAGCCCCGCCCCTACGAGCAACTTGAGGGTTTCCGCGAAGGTCAAGTTAGCTGATAACTCTATCGGTGTTGGCCCGATCTTTCTACGAGTCATTCAGATAATGCAAGATCACTATGAGTTTTAATGTTAGGTATTTTTGGGGAAACCTCAGAATCTCATTTCAAAGTTGAAATCTAATCCCGCTACAACGTTTGTTGAACATTGCTCCAATTCTTCAAATCATTCAATTAACATATGCAAAACTTTTGTTGGTTCAACCAACAGAAGCTATCAAAACAACATCGGAAATCGACCTGTAAACACCGTCCGTTTTTCACACAAAATCGATAATGAGGCGGAAAACTTTCGTAGGATTCCGGAGGAAATAACTGATTTCATCAAACTTTAAAAAATGAAAAATCAGCTAATCGCGGTATTGTTTTGTTGAAATTTTGCACATTTGTCCCGCAATATTATATGAAAAATTAATACGGACAGGAGGCGATGATATCGTCCTGTTTCCTATAAATATCTCCAGCACAGTTCAGTCTGCTAGAAGTTAAAGTACTCGCCTTCGAAGGCTCTGCCTGGAGCTAATTTTTCGCGTCCATAAATAAATGATTAAAAATATAACTCAGTACTAGTACTGCAGTGAGTGACAGAGAGCGCATTTTCTCGTCGACGAAAATGTGAAGTCACGGACGGACAGACGGACGTACGGACGGACATGGCGAACACAACAGTGCATTTTTACCATAAATGAGAAAAAGTGCTAAAAAGATCCCATGCATTACGAGCCGCAAGTCTTTGCTTGCCCTCATCTCCAAAAACTTGTATTAAAAAAATACGAGTGATGATTGACCATGTTATGAACCATCGAAATTATCGCTGTATTTGCCAACATAAGAGCACCTAGCTGTTGAATTTTTCCCAATCGAAAAATAAAACTTTTATATGGTCTCGTAATATCTCCTCATAGCTGCCTTAGTTGCATGGAGGACCAGAAGCGTGATATTTTATTCGGAATTGAACCTCTGCCTGCGCAGCCTGATTAAAATTATTCTTTGTTGTCCATCGCTGAGCTATAAATACGAGTTGCGGCTGCTCAATATCTCTGCAAATTATAGTATATTAATGTGTGCAAACAGCCATGATAACTTGAACTTTAATTCAACATACCTACGTACTTTGAGCAATACGTTATTGAAAACATACTCGACATGGCGCTAATATCCCCACTTCACACCTGTCGTCATCGTCGGTGTTTCCGGTGTCCCCAGAAATGCGCCCCCAAGTGGGCGCCTCGTGGGTTCCGTGCGGGGCGCTAGGCTGCGGTCGCTGCACTGCGGGGCCCCGGCGTTGCAAGGCCTCGGCGGGGGGTCGACGCCCCCCAACGCTGAGACCATAACCTCCTTCAGGTCCCCAGCCTCCTACAGGAGAGTGCACGCCGCTCTAGCTACTCCTCAGGAGGAGGAACTCTTTGAACCATCCCACGGTCCGGACCAGGTTAGTTAAATATATAAAAATGATATTTACGGTCCAGACCAGGCTGATGGAGTATGTTACTACGGTCCAAACCAGATCTGTTGCACACATAATAGTTAGATTTACATAATATTTTAACCTAGAGCTTCACCAGTGGGGGCAAAACCATCCTATACGGTCAGGACCAAGTCAGTTCTGTTACTTTATTTGCTCGCGTTAGATCTTGGTATTTCAACCTACTTGGTAATTCAATTGTGAAGGTAAAATATTTCTCTGAAAAGCTACTCAAAAAGCGTCAGTTTTCATTGTAACGAAATTGGGGTTCCTCTGTAATGTTTGGATCTAAATTATAGATGACCTCGGGTTCAATTGCTCCTCAAGATTATCAAACTGGTCTGCTAATATTTTTTTCTGATACCGTAGTCGACATAACTGCCTTATATCTATGATATCCCTCCTTTAAAATTTATTTGATGTTTCTGGATTGTCGCTCGTACTTAGTTCTTGCATGATAATATGGATATCACTGAATCATTTTACCAGAGCCCCGCGATCGATGTTGAAACGATAAAATGTTTTATATGTATTAATCTTCCCATAATTCGCACATGCACGCGGTTGATTTTCGCGCATCATGTAAGAGGCCAAGTTTTGCTACTTCACTCACGATTGTTTGGTGATAATTTACAAGTGCGTGGCATGACGATGATGTCAGCATTTATACGACAACTTATTAGGGTTTTGTTTACGAGTATTTGATTGCTGCAGGCTTTCCCCGCCACCTAAAATAGACCACTCGATGACTTGACTAACCATGATAAGTTTTAGTTCTTATCTGCTCTTGATCAAACTTGATAATGGATATGGACCAATTATTTTGGAGTTACGTGTTTTCCCCAGCATACTTGAGGCCATTCGTATCAGACTTAGTTCGGCCTTGTATAAAGTGCGTAATATATTCATGTTTTTTTTTAGCTTAGTCATCGTTATTCCACTTTGCATTTAGGCGTCGTTGAGTCCCAGGGGTCGCTGGGGTCGTTGAGTACCAACTCATTTAATAAAAAACAAAGGCACATTTACCTTCGGTTACAACTTTCTGTTTCTCTGTATTTTTGAAATAAAATGAAGAGATATGGTATGCAGTTATCCCCCTAAGCAAATTCTTCAGGTTCTCTTCGTGTTGACCGCTGCCATCCTCGTCAATTATTCTTGTCCAAGATGCTCTGTGCGCGGTCTTTTTGACCAAGTTTTTCTCGCTATGCAGCCATTTACAAATTTTCATTGCCATTTCTATATATATATATATAGGCGTCAACAATTTTTCTTGATTAATCAAATCTCACTGCATAATTGAACACTGACTACATATTTGCCTCTTACAAGTATTTTTCTTTGGTTGCGTTTTGACTAGGATCGATGTCATCATAAGCCACTGGAAACCATTATCTGCTTGCAATGCCACTTGACACGCAGTTTTGTTTTGCCGAGGATCGAATGCCGTCTTAGCCCCTGGAAACCATTATCTGCTTGCAATGCCACTTGACACGCAGTTTTGTTTTGCCAAGGATCGAGTGCCATCTTAGCCCCTGGAAACCATTATCTGCTTGCAATGCCACTTGACACGCAGTTTTGTTTTGCCGAGGATCGATTGTCATCTTAGCCCCTGGAAACCATTATCTGCATGCAATAAGTCACTCGACATCCAGTTTCGTTCTTTATTGATTGCTCACATCGTGCTGTTGCATACGTCACCCTGAATGCTTTGAGTGGACAGCTGATGTTTATGATCATACAGTATATAATGTGGGTGCAAAAAATATTTCACACAAAGGAAAAACTTTATTTAATTAAAACTTATCCAACAAAATAACATAAACAAACTGTAAATGTAAATTTACATGTGAAAATTACATGCTCGAGGTTGGATATTCCAACAAGAAAATGACCCTAATCGCACGCCTATATAGGGCAACTCTTGCATGGTTTCAGGAGAGGGACATTAAGTTATTGGAATGGTCAAGCTAATCACCTGACCTTAGTCCGATTGAAAATCTGTGGCGGGAATTGAAATTTCGGGTACAGGAGGGAGATCCAAGAAATATTATCCAATTGAACGAAATATGCAAGGAAGAGTGGGCTAAAATTCCTATTAGCATATGTGTTAATCTTGTGAACAAGTGCTCCAATCTGTTAGAAGCAGCAATACTTCATGTTACCTGCTAAAGGTTACATAACGAAGTATTGAGTAAATTTGTTAACTATGTGTTGGATACTTTTGTCAACAAAATTGCAATTATCAAGTCAACATTTAATGATATTGTTGTTTTGATGTGATATTTTTATTTCCCATGTAAATTTACATTAGAATACTGTTTGTTTGTTATTTTGTTGAATAAACTTCAATTAAATAGTTTTTCCTTTGTGTCTGATAGTACTTTTTGCACCCACTGTTTATGGGCTTAGCGTGTTATCGCCACGTCAAGGGCTATGCCCGGTGGGGAGTTCTATTTGTGAAAGATTCTTCTTGAGTTCTGAGTTATCGGTACGTGCTATACCGCAATTTATTTATAAAATGTTTAAATTTATTCATGCGTAGCATCAGCATTTGAATGCATTCACTTCGACTAAGGGCCGTTATCCAATTTTTATGTATTCAAAATCCTTTTTGAACAACGTGATAAACAGGAGGCCTCTAATGGTGTTAAAGTCATTATTTTCATCGAACGAAGTTTGCTATTCCACGTATTAATGTCTCTGAATGGGCTGATGCCAGGTGCTGCCTGCGAGGTCACACAAATGTTGGCATCCTGACGGCGCCGTGACCCTCACAATGGATGAAGAAGGCCCAGGGGCAAGGGCGCCCATGTCTGTCCACAGCCTCCTGCAAACAGCAGTTCTCGCCCACCCCCAACAGCCCGCCCTCGCCGTCCACCGTGATGATGCCTGGAAGTGAGCTCGTTGACTATCCGCTATTTTGATACTGAACTTACACCAACTTGTTTTATGAAGTCAAATTCATCATCTCCCCACTCTCGCACCTAAATCGTACGCAATCATCTTAGTTCGAACAAACTTCCTATTTTTTTCTAACTTGGCCACGAATTCATCAGTCCAATGTAATTATTTTTGATCTAGTATGGCGTGGATACACAAAACATCCTAACTCTCTGGAGCTTTGTTTCATTAAGGTTTTCAACTCTGAATAGAAACTTCTCAATGACTGCTAGCGAACAGGTGGCAAGTGGCGATACAAATAAGTGTTGACTCCGCTTACCAGGTACTGGAACTACGCAGAGTACTACGCAGCCAGCGCGACCGCTGCCAAGGCATTCATCAGGCTGGGACTGGAACGCTTCCACAGCGTGTGCATCATGGGTGCCAACAGCCCCGAGTGGGTGATTGCCAACAACGGTAAGTGGCTAAAACATCCTGGGTGCCAACAGTCCTGAGTGGGTGATTGCCAACAACGGTAGGTATAGCCACAATATCCTGGGTGCCAACAGCCCCGAGTGGGTGATTGCCAACAACGGTAAGTGACTAAAACATCCTGGGTGCCAACAGCCCCGAGTGGGTGATTGCCTACAACCTGTCTCTTATACACATCTAGATGTGTATAAGAGACAGTGTANGGCGTGATGTAGGTTAGGTTAGTTTACTTGCTGACACTCTTGACTATTGCAGGCGATCGTGCAGTGGCTTGGGCAGCCCAGGGAGCGCGGCGTGATGTCTTGGGCGGAGTTCATGCACCTCGGCGCCTCGACGCCCGACGACGAACTGCAGCAACGACTCAGCCTGCAGGCGGTCAACCAGTGCTGCACTCTGATCTACACCTCAGGTCGCGTCTTGTTCTGTAATGTGACAAATTAGTGCCATGCTGTCTTGTATTGACATTTATTCTCAAACACGAATGAGTTTTCCTATTTTAAACGAAACCATGAGACCTGACCTTGTATGATTCTTCACCGAAAAACTAGATTCCTAGTCTGAGTTTAATTTTCATTATTAGTAAGTTCTTCATTATCTGAGTATAATTATTTGCGCTGAAATGGCGCTATTTGAATAGAACATAATAACTCCCAAAGTATCTTGGAAGTCAAAACAAATTTTCAAATTTGTTATTCATGCACTATCGATGCGCAAATCGAAATAGGACGCATGAATTACACATTCTTACCATATCGCACCAATCGTTCCGTTAAATGAATTTTCACTTTGTGACATGGGATCCCGTATGTACACTACACAAGTCGGCTGAATAAGATAGCTGTGTCAACGAAACTCAACGAAACTCAAATGAATTTAAATTTTTGTTTTCACCTTAAAATACTTCTATATCTAATAATGTCCGGTAATACTTCTTAATCTAATGAATTTAAAAATCTGTGCTTAGCAATTTTTCATCAAAACAGGCACGACTGGTCCTCCTAAAGGCGTGATGTGTTCCCAGGACAACATCACCTGGAGCGCTCGCGCTATCGCTGACTTCTTCAGCCTCAAGCACGGTGAGTGCGAGGCAGGACTAAACTATGTAGCCTTTCATTATAATATCTATAAAACGATACTATTGGTCTATTAAGTAATAATTTTCAGTTTCATTTATGAACTTTGGTTGTCCACAGACGACTCGATCGTATCCTACCTACCGCTGAACCACATCGCGGCGCAGATGGTGGACTTGTACGTGGCCATGCCATCTCGTAAGCTCGATGTCTTGGTTGCAGTAATCACAGTACTCGTAAGCTCGATGTCTTGGTTCCAGTAATCACAGTACTCGTAAGCTCGTTGTCTTGGTTGCAGGTTCAGCCCACGGAGTTTTTGACTGTGCCTCGCCTGCTGGAGAAGATACACGAGCAGCTGACGGCGGCTTCGGCCGAGTCTTCTCCTGCTAAGAGAGCCGTCGCCGCGTGGGCCAAGAGGGAGGGAAGCAACTACTACAGGGCGCTGCGGGAAGGGAGGTCTGTTGTTGTGTTGTTGTTGGTCTGTAGCATAGCTTTCTTATTAGCATAAGTTTAACGCCCATTGCATTAGCCTTCTACTGCAGTATAAGTCTCTTAGATTACTTCCTTGTGCTCTTGAGTCTTTCTGCAGCATTGATAAGATTTATAAACTTTTTCATTAAATTTTTTTTATGATTGCTTTGTGATACTGTCGCTAATGCTTTTATTGCTTGGCCCCTCCCTACCAAGCTCGCTTTAACTATCTGGAGCAGGAGAAATATCTGAAAACGAGATTATTTTTTCTTATCAAATTGAAAGTATTTTCTGTACCTGATTCGTGAGTTGAATAATTAACAAATTACTTGAAACTACACAACAGGAGATTGACCCAGAAAGAGCAGCTGCGCTACCGCCTCGCTAAAATGCTGGTCTTCAGTAAAGTCAAGAAAGCCCTGGGCCTTACCAACTGTCGCAACCTTACTTCTGGTCAGTGAACTTTGCTTTTTTTTCGACATTGACAATCATTTACAGTTAATACAGATAATTCTTCGAAGTATTCATCTTAACAGATATTATTTGATTGTTTTTACCGTAGATTTATCGCCTCTTTCTCAATTATGGTGTCAATATTTCCGCACGTGAAAAGAAACTAGTTTTATTGTAATTTCATTACAGAATATTATTCTCGTGAAGGTTCTCTACATTCCTCTATGCAATGAGAAGATGCAGGAATTGTTGGTATTGTTTCTTCATCCCAGGAACTGTACTACAAAATTCTTTGATCCTGAGTCGCACATTATTTCAGGTTCTGCACCTCTGAGCCCAGAGTTGGTGGAGTTTTTCTTCTCGCTGGACCTGCCCCAGAGTAACGTCTGGGCTCTGTCTGAGTCATGCGGTATCGGGACCATCAACCACCTTCACGAAGACCGCTACCGCACCGGCAGTGTTGGCAAGGTATGATCAATTTTACCTTACCTGGGAAATTAAGACTTAGGAATAATTAGAGACACAAACATCTCGATCAGGTTTGCGTCTACAACAAGGGACTTTTTATAATGCCATAGACCAAAATAATAATATAATAATCAGTAATAATGACTGAAGCCCGTCAATTCTAAGCACATATTCGTCCTAAATAATAAATCACTTTATTTCAATTTGTACCATCCATTAGATTTTATGAAAGCTTAATTGTTTGTGTTAGAAGCCTGGCGCCGTGAATTTCTAGGGGCTGTTGGGACTCGTATCCGCAATAGCTAGAGTTTCGGGATATTACATGAACCATGATTACCTGGACCTGAAACCGCGTTCCCAGCCGCTGAATCATGGGGCATTGCAAAACCTGTACCTTAAAAGTTTGTTTCAGTTCTGGGAGTACGCTTCTTTCTTGGTTAGATATATCAGATTATTCAGTGCACGAACAAAAAATTGATTGCGTCAGTAGTTTGATGCATTGAATGAACAATAATTTAATATTGTTCGTTGCAGGCCGTTCCTGGTGCAAAAATTTCCATCCAAAAGTCTGACGTGAGCAGCCGCCAGGGAGAAGGAGAAATTTGCATGAAGGGACGCAACGTTTTCATGGGATACTTCAACAACAAAGAGAAAACTGACGAAACCGTGAGTGCTTCGTAGGGGTTCGGAGAAACCAGCTTACCGTGAGTCAGGGTATCCAGGTTACCGTGATTGAAGGTATCCAGGTAACCGTGATTGAAGCTATCCAGATTACCGTGAGTCAAGGTATCCAGGTTACCGTGAGTCAGGGTATCCATGTTACCTCGAGTGAGGGTATCCAGGCTACGACTGTATTGATATAGGAGGTTTGGTGTGTTGTGATGAGAATCGCTCCTACACCTCCTACAAGTCGTTGTGCTACACGTTACGTTCATGACACTTAGGGAAGACTTGTTCGCCTCGATCTCCATTCGGATAGTTCTCTTTCTGTTCTATTCTTTAGAGAATAAAATGCAAATGTAGATGTTAAATTTCTTCTGAAATGCTTAAGATGGACTCTCCTTGGATCAGATCCAGGACGATGGTTGGATGCGCACGGGCGACCTTGGTCACCTGGACGAGGACGGCTTCCTGTACGTGAGCGGGAGGGCAAAGGAGATTATCATCACTGCAGGAGGTGAAAATATTGCGCCGCTGCCCATTGAAGCTGCCGTCAAGAAGCTAATTCCTGCTGTGGCTAACGCCGTAGTTGTGGGCGACGGCAAGAAGTGAGTCGACGCCTAGGAAGGGGAGGAATAGGAAGATGTGAGGTTTCTAATGTCTGGTAAGATGTCGGCTGCATGCTATAAAGTAGTTATTATTGTATTTTACGTCGAGTAATTGTGGTCCTGAAGCACTGTTGCATGTTGTTATGAACATTTCGTGAGAATTTGCTGCTGGCGTTATTCGTCTTTATTCCGTGTAGTAGCAGCTTCGTCTTTACACTCAGGTATCTCTCGATGCTGCTGACCTTCTGCTGTTCCGTTGATCCGGACACAATGGTCCCGCACGACAGTCTGTCCGCTCCCGCGCTCGACTGGCTGCGTGGCTTGGGCAGCGCCGTAACAACCGTCACGCAGCTCAGGGATGAGGTGCAGCAGCAGCCCAACGGCATCATCGCTACTGCCATTCAGGCAGCCATCGACGTGTGAGTATTTATGGATAATTCAACACGCAGCTGTTATTTCCTCGAAGTTGACATTTACGCACAACAGTGGATCTCGTCGGTAAGAGCGATGTCAGCGGCTGGTAAAAGTAGGAGCTACAAAGGCAACCGCTCCTCCACGGTCCTTACTGAGACAAGGAAGAGCGCAGGAAGGAACGAGCGTAAAAGGAGGTGCTGGGTTGATTGATTTTCTCGCTCACAGCAGGCCTTGGGCTCCTCCACTTCAAACGAGTGCGAGGGCAGGCAGCTGCTTGACCCGACTATAGTGCTTGATAGATCTAGCGTGTGAGCTTGGCTTCTTCGCTAGCAATTGAGGTTAACGACAGCCAGGACTGGGCTGCTAATGTAGGAACTTTTCCCTACGAACGCCCGCCGTTATGGCCTCCAGGAGAAGAGCTGTGTTCGACAACCATGAAAAAACCTCGTAGGCTGCAGTGACGAGCGCGTTGCAGAAAAAATGCCACTCGTTTGGAAAAAAAATCTCCGTAATGCGTTGTCACCGCATGTTCGCATTACCATGATTACCGTGTCATCAGCTGTCGTTAGACATATAAGCCGGCACTTCCTATCGAGGTTTATTCGTTTTAATGTAGTTTTTAGCCTAAAACATGTATAACAGGATGGCTCAGGCACTGAGCAGTGTTAAGAGGCCGTTTGGAAATTTAACTTGTGCAGAAAAATTTTATGAAACGTTGACGGCAAACGAAATGCGCCTGAATGTTGCACAGCAAGTGCAAAATTGTTCTAAACAATTATCGTTTTGCAAACTTATACATGTTATTTTGCTGTCATGAGATCATACATTACAACCTGTTATATAATTCATAATAATATTTCACTGCAAGGTGGTTACTGGTTAGATCTCTTATTAAGAAAATCCCCCTAGGAACCAGCCAATGTCTCGGCACACGGCGCTGCGAACTGTGATCACGGCGGAGGCTTGCGTTTCTTTTATCGGAGATGTTTATGTTAATTTAGTTGGTAAAAATACGCAATGATGTTGTAAATTATTTAACTTTGGTTTCAATTTGGTATATTCTAATCATGAAGAGTAAATTGAGACCACTACCGATCTAATAAAATAGTTTAATATCGTGCAATTAATTAAAGCGTGCCAATACTGAACAGAAATCACTTAAAATGATGAGTCGGCTAAACGAACTTCTTTATCACATTCATATCTTTGCACAAACTCCAAAAATAAAAGTGATAAATCTGAAATTCTTGTGCACAGACTTAGTTTTACAGAAAGTATCAGTTATTATTTTATTGCTATACCTTACCACGTATTACATGTTGCGTACAAGACACACGCTACTCCACTATACATATATTCCATGGAGATTTCCAGTATGTTTCAAGCTTCGATCACCGCAATAGGTATCAACTAACGTTTATGCGGCAGTAAGTTGGCATCAGATTACGAATGTAGTGAGCCAAGTCTTCAGACATTGCAAGCTTCTGCTAATAAGTAAGTTTTCTTTCGAGTATTAAATACAGGTCAGCAAATTAATTACCCATTTGTACTAAACTAATTTACGCTTGCAGGTACAACTCAGAGCACGCGACCTCCCGCATCCACCAACTGAAGCGCTGGTCGGTGCTGCCGCACGACTTCTCCCTTGCCACCGGCGAGCTCAACAACACACTGAAGCTCAAGCGCAGCTACGTCACTGAAAAGTACAGTGAACTCATCGAAGAGATCTACTCCAGATAACCTACCTCGGACACACTAATGACCTTATCGAGGAGATCTACTCCAGATAACCCACCTCGGACACACTAATGACCTCATCGA